GAACCGAATGACTACAGTGTTGATCTCCCTCACCATTTCTTCTTCTCTATTGGTGTTTTCTTTTAATGTTGGAGTTTTTGAAAACATCATGCTGGTAATGAGGGTTAGTGCAGTTTTCATAATAACAGATAAGTAACCCAATTAAACATTTTTTTCAGACTAGTGACTACACATTTAAGATATGGAATATCAATTTCAACATCTTACTGCTAAGTCTTTAAAATACATGAAGACAAAGGGCAATTTAGAAATCCCCCAGAAGTCGGGAGCGAGGTGGGAAGCTCACAGATGTTAGAGGGCTGGTGGGCAAGTAGACCAGAGAGAGCGGTAGACCCTGCTTCCACCGTCTTCAAAAAGATGATGGAGATGGAGAAATAGAAATCATTAAAGCACAATCTGAACCAAAAATGGCATAGAAATTATACATATAGGCTCACAGCACCATAAAAGAGCACTTAACTAAACGTTCAGATTATTTTTGCTTCCGTGATCTGTTTCAATTTTTATAATTGATATTATTAAATTAATTTACAAAATTTTAAGTTTGGAGATATGCTACATACAATAATAAAATAGATGTTAGGTTTCAAACGGGACTTCTGTGGTTGGTCAAAAGACCTTTAATCACAGGTCTTGAGAATCATGAATTAGCATCGCTTGCACACGCCATGGGATAGAGATAGTTAAAACATCCTGAAGCTTAAGTGACAAATCTCGGCGTTTTGCATGTGGAAGTAGTGCCAAATGCACGCAAATGGAACCCATCACTATACTGAACCCAGGATCTCGCCCTTCCCCGCCTCTGCAGTTTCTGGATAATGATCGCCAACCTCCTTCACTCCTCGTTACAATATCGGTAAGGTGGCTGTTAAATGGGCGTGTGCTGGCTTTTCCTATAAATATTAACCAGGTGCCCTTTCTTCTTCTTCCCTCTCAATCTGCCTCTCCTCCGGTGAGCCTGTTGTGCCTGCTGGCTGCGTCACAGGGAAAACTCAACTTCACGATCACAATGCACAGCAACAGTCCAGCCTCTCCACCAGGAAAGCGCTGAGGAGATTGCTTTTCTCTCTCGTCTGTGCCTTTCAACCCGTACTACAGCTACTAAGGAAACTGCAAAGGTTTTAGGAGAAAGTGTGCCGGTTCAACGCGAGTTTCGACATCGCAACTTTTAAAGGGGTCTAAATGGCAGGACACGAATGGGACGACTGGTTTGAACGCGAGGAGCTGATCGGACAGATCAGCGACATCAGAGTGCAGAATCTGCAAGGTAAGGCGCGAGCTGCCTGCCCTGTGGACGGAGGGGCTGCTGCTATTATGTTTCGTTCATGTCCATTAACTGTGTATCCAGGCTCTTTGGTGGATGGGGGCACAGAAAGTTCAACCTCCCGTTACTCCCGTACTCTGATTCTTGAATAACAAGAAGTTTAAGGTCTTCGTGAAGACGTAACGCGTAAACACGGTGGTGGTCTAGATTATTAGACTTGTTTCGGTAATGGTCGGAAAATTAAAGTAAAAAATGAGCCCGTATTCAGCATTCAGGTGATTGGCGAAGGAGTGCTTCTTCCTTCATGTGTGTAACAGGGCGTCTAAGATGCAGCGAAGAATATTACAGGTTTTGAGAGGAGGTGATTTATCCCGTTTGCAGACAACGAACATCCATGGTACAGAAGAAATATTTAAGAGGACTGATTGCGAATATTTTCCTAAATCTCTCATACAAAATGCAACATACAAATAATGTTCTAGCGACCTAGGATATGAGGCAATATGTGAGTTATGACAGTCCTCATTAATAACGCGGCGTTGCAAATTACAGCTGCCATGGTCATGGCTTAAAAATACAAATTAATTATCTATGCTTGTTTCAGACTGAAAAGATGAGAGCTCGCTTGGGCTAATAAAAGCTAGGAGCAACAGGTAATTCTCTTGATCATGTTTTGAGTTTTTGCATCAGTCGAGACGAACTGCGGTACTGGAAACTTAGATTTGACAGAACAAGTATTATGACAGAATACAGATCAAGACGTAACCAAACACTGTATTTTTTTTGGAATTCAGAGTGCTTCACTGGTATGACCACGGACACAAAGTGTTGCCAAAACAAATAATGAATAATAGTTCCTTTTTGTGACACGTTTACAATAAACAAAAGAATTGGATAGCTGTAGCTACTGTGTGAAATATGTGTGGGTTCAGTCAAGTAGAATGGAAGTAAAGGTGTTTTTCATTAGTGCTTGTTGCAATATCCCAAACAATTGTAACAATTGTTGTTGACATATGTATGGCAGGCACAGTGTTACAAAATATTAAGTTCGTGGTGTTTTGAAAAAAATGTTTCAACAGAAAGTCTGTTGAAGTAATTACTGAAATGTAGGATTAAACACATGAATTTACCAGGATAGTAAGTATTGAAGTGTAAGTGAAGGTAACAGCTACCAGTGCTCTAATGAAATATGGCAATAAACTATAATCCGACCACTGAGAAAAAGAGATTTAGGTTCCATATAAATGCTGCCATAAGCTATGTATTTCTTTCTGGTACTTGTACCTTGACTTGTGGCAGATATGTGCACTGAGCCCTACTGTAGAAAACAGGTCTCTGCAGGCCTAAAGAAAAATGCATCACCTTATCAGTGAAGCAATAATACATACCCTTCGGTATTAGACACAGCAACTTAATTCCCATAAATTCCCACGCGTTTCATGCTCTCGAAAAGGACAAAGATAGGTGAAAGTTAGGTTGCACTCTTCCTGATTCTGCAGAATTATCACTTTGTGCCAGTTTAGGTTTTTATTTAAATTTCTTTCTATCAAAAATCCTTTAATTAAAACTTCCATTCCACTAGCAGTGTAACTTAATGTTTGACTACATCTGGAAAAATGACCCATAAAAAAAGGCTTATTTTCTTTGTTATTAAGCCATTTAATCATGCATTTCAAATGCAGAAGTTTGTGTGAAGACTTGATTCAGGTACTGGGGACTTTTTCAGAATCAGCACCAACAGCAGGTCCTGCCTGAGCGCACAGGTGGAAGTTAAGGCAAATGAGGTTTAGGACAATTCAGAGCAGCAAATGGAGACACTACTTTACACACAGGGTTGTGGGAGCCTGGAATCAGCTTTCTAGCCACATGGTTGAAGGTGTTGCTGTATGACCCTTTGAGAAAAGATCTTTTAGACTTTGTAGATCATAAACCTACTGGCAACCAAATGAGTGAGACAGGCCAGATACCCTCCTCCTGTTCTTATACACTAATTCTAATTATACAAATCCTGAGGCACTACTACAAATGCTGTGTAGGAAAGATAAAAAAGCACAGTGCGTGCAGATCTGTCTACTAGCAGGTTGGCTGCCATTTTCTGCTGCGTAGTCAGAGTTTGCAGAAACCTGAAATGTGCTAGACTGGATCCTCTCTGTTTTAAAACTAAAAAGATTCAGATAGGACATGTCTTCAAGCCCAGGAATGTGTCTGATCTGTCTTCTCAGGACTGATTCCAGAGCAGCAATATTTTTTTTCCCAACATTGCCACTATAACTGAACAGAAGTGAGGCCTAACTAGTGCATAGTACAATTTTAACATACATTCCATTAATTTAAAATCCATTTTTAACTTTATATCCAAACATTTAGTTTTCCATTTTTGCTTGCCTACATTGTCTAGATTAGAAGATGGAAACAGAGTTTCTACGAGGTCAATGTTTCCCATCTTTTGCTTCTTATTTGTTTTTGCTTTTTGCAATCTGCATGTGTCAATCTCCACTTATCCCCGTGTTTTGGCAATTTCTGTCTAGAATCTTTGAATCTCCTTCTAGTGTGTTAGTTAATACCTTCTGTTTTGATTTAATTTGTAAACTTGTCTGCAAAAGATCTTCTGCTAATTACATCATCATAATTTGAATATTCACATTCCCTTATCCTTACTGATTTTTTTTCTACCTGATAACCAGTTCTTACTCCAGACACATACAGTACATCTGAATGAATGCTTACCACCTGCAATTTGACAGTTAATCTTTCTTAGAAACCTTATCAAAAGCCTGAAAACCATTTTTTACAGTTTTAAGTTGTGTATTCAGTAATCTTGCGTTTGTCACCACTATTCTCTCTTACACTTCAGTGATTCTAATTCCATCATAATTGCATGCTACTGCTGCAGTTTCCATCTCTTGTATTTTGTTCCTAATACTAATATTGTCTACGACTTATCTGCCCTTTCAGACACTGCCAGACAGCTTCATGTAATGTGTGTCTGTTGCCTGAGAACAGAAACTCAGAGTGTGATTAGGCTGCCAGTTCAAAGGGAAAACATGGACCAGAACTAACAATATTTACACAGCACTTGGACAAGTAAGGCTACAAGATCTTCAAGTTAAAGTACGTCAGTGTTAGGATTGTTTGTAGTGTGATATATGTTGGACTGGCTAACAATGGCTTCTGTCCAGTTAACTAGTTCTTACAAACAAAAAATCCAGTATTGTGTATCACAGGGCCTTTTAAGAATGTGTGGATTGAGAAACCAAGCACTGTAAGCTGCTCCAGTGTGTTTGGAGGTACTGTTCATTTTCTCCTAGTTGACTGTGTGCCAGTAACACGGAACAATGAGTAAGTGTGGCCCTGCCTTTCAGCTCAAACTCTCCACTGTTTATGTTCCTTTGCCTAATGTGCTTATTCAGGAAGTTGCTTTATATTTTTTTTTTTATAAAAGCAGAAATGTTTTATCATTTTTAATAAGCTACAATTTCTCTGTGACTGTATTTTTTTGTCTTTTTATTTGTCTATCCTTCATTCATTCACTCCGGAGCTCATGTATGGGTAGCGTAACAATATTCTATAATATTACAGTGTACGAACAAGTAGGATTTGTAATAGAGAGAAGGCATGAACAGAGTATATTTTCTTAAAATAAAGTAACATTTCCTGATTTTTATATTTTATATTTACATTTTTTTATAGATATTTATATTTGATAAATTATAAAACATATTTGATATTTTGATATTTGAGCAGCCTTTCTCAGTGGAGTTTCACATTATGAACAAGAATGTTTTCAGAGAAAGCACAAAGAAACCCTATATTTCAGTTTGGAGTCACAACTACTTAGCAATTCCAGCATCAATCTGCAATGATTTGCATGACTCCTACTTCTTTGCGTAGGACTAACCTTTCTTTAGATCATTTGTGCCCACGTCGGTCAATGTGGAAGTAACAGATGGTAGGGTTATTTTATGAGTTAGTTGTTGGTAGTGTTTGATTTTTAATTTCCACTTTAAAAATATTGGCATGCAGAGAATCTTAGTTTCTTGAGGTTGTGGAAAGCCCACCTTCCTTCTCTGAAACCCATTTTTTTAATAATGGTCCTGTGGATAAAACATCAAAATAGGTTTAAAAGTTCAGCCATCTAATTTGTCTCAGTAGGTTCTACACATGTAGTTGTGCTGCATTCAGTCACGAGCTCTCTGCTCTGAGATTGTCCATTATGAGACATTATGCAGACAGTGATGTACCCGGAGTGTGAGATGTGTGCTGCTACTGGAAACAAGCTTTGTAAAGAGTGCACTTCAATTTGCAAGGATTGTAGTTGTTATGATGCTCTTCATTTTTTAAACCTGTTTGTTGATGTATACATGTATGTACACAACATGATTTGAAGGAAGCATGTTCAGCTGACAGTCCCAGTGTAGGTCAGTTTCACCTATGAGCTGGGAAGAGTGCAGGAAGAAGCCTGAGTGGATTATGCAAACAAGATGTCTTCTGTGAGTATTTATAATCACCATCAAGAGAGAACATTTCATTTAAACAAAGTGGCCATTAGACCAGATGTTTAAACACATGACTAAATTTCTGTGAGAATATACCTATAACTTTGATTTTTTAAGTTAGATGATCTTTTTGACACTTTCTTTTAGAAGGTTGACAGGTAAGTACAAATAGAATTTAAAGGAAAATATTGCTTGCATTTTTAATGAAAAGAAATCACAGCAGCAAAATTCTTGTATGGTAATGCATTAAAATTCTGAATTTTATCAATTTCAAATGCAGAAGGGTTGTTGACATTCTGGGTTAGTAGGGCAGCCTCAGAGCAAATTCCAGAAAATTGGGTAAAGTACATTTTAATTTAAAATGTATTTTCCTTCAGAGTAAAGCATGTTTTAAAGGAGCATTGTAATTGTTAACTGCTGGGGAGATTTTAGCTCTAGTGAAAAAAGCACAAATTAATCCGCCCCCAACAAATTAAATTTATGCAGCTATTTGATGATGGAATACTACAGCCCTCTCTTTCTGCACTAGAACTGTGTTACAGAAACAGTTGGACAGCACTTAGTGTACTCCGTACAGTACCCAATTCCTGGAAGTATCATGATCAGTTTTTAAAGTTTTTGTCTATGCACTGGTAGGAACATTTATGAGGATATTCTATGCATAGAAATATCAATGACATTATGGGGTCACTGCAATGGACTGGTGTCCAGGGTGTAGGGAACCCTGCCATCACTACTCATTGACTAGATTGTACACTACATTTACACTCCCTTCTCAATTACATATGCAGCATGTCACTCCTGAAAGCTGAATAATATGATTTGTTTTCTGAGGCTCTGTGCCTTGGAGTAACCTTGATCTGTTACCTGTTTCTTGACTAGAATTGTGCTGCTGTTTATGTAGAAAAATCTTTACCTCTGTTCTTAGTCATTTATTAAACCTGCAAACCCATCCTGGTGTTTGTTCACATTGGATGTGGAAATGAAGTATGCAGTACTGCTGCTGTGGTGGAGCTGCATTGATAATGTTTTTACTTGTGTTCACTGGCAGAGACACTGGAGTTGCAGTTTTGTGAAATACTGCAAACAATTTACTCCCTCCCTTACTCTCTCATTTATTAACTTACACACTGTCAATATGCCATTCCATCTGTAGTAACTGTAAATAGTTGGATGCCATCAATACTTATGAGATTTGAGTGCCTCTTTGGCGCCTGTAGTACCATTTCCATTTTGTGATCCAATAAAAAAACAAAATACAAATATAATTTTGTCACAATTTTTTATACTAAATACTGCCTTCCTCTATGTTCATAAATATTATTTAAATCACTCTCTTTCATTTTTATTTTTTAGTAAACAAAAGTGATGTACCCAAAATAATTTAGAGTGAAGAGATTTTAGTCTGTGTTTTTACTTATGGTGTACAGTTATTTGGAGTCCGGTGTATATGATCCATGTACTTGATCTGGGTCCATTACAGTGTGCTCTAAATTTCAGCAGTAGGTGGGACTTGGTATTACAATGACCTAACCTATAAAGGAGTTACTCAGAAAAGGGTTTCATTTGGTTTCTATGGTATTTGTAGTTTGATAATTATTAGTAGATGAACAGGATGTCTGTTAGTTTGAGTAATTTTTTTTTTCTCTTTTTGAATGTTAAGTTAATCATCCCAGTCTCTTCAGAAATAGTTTAAATTGTTTTGGAAGACTTTAATAATTCTCAGAATGACAGTACTACACAGACTTTCCTGCTCTGAAAGCATAAGTGGGTAATTTAATAGTTTCAGTGTTGGGTTCATTCAGTAAACTCATTATGTGGTGAAACATGAGGGCAAACAAACTGTACGTAGTTTAATGATTTACAGGTCTGCACCCATCTCAGATGGCTAACCTATTAGATTCTTAAAGCAATGTTAAAGACAAAAAGGCTGTGCTAACAATTTGCAAGTTTTTCTTGCAAATAATTGGTTGAGCTTTTAACTTTGTTCTTTCCTTTTAAATTGATTTACTTTTGTTCTAAATTATTGGAAACCAAAGGTAATATTCTGTGCTCTGGAAAGTGATATTTTCATAATTTAGTAATAACTACAATGTTGTTGTGACCTTGCCTGTAATGCACTAATTTGATGTTATTTTTTTATTTGCTATGATGGTGTTTTTAAATTTTTGTCCTTCTTTCTTTCTTTAAATTTTTCCTTCTAATGAAAATTATCTCCATAGAAATCTGTTTCTATGGCAATTGATATTCTTCCAATAGTTTGGAATTTGCCTCTTTTAGGTTTTCAGTAGGTAATAAATCCAAAGATCTTGTAGATACTACAAATTATTCTAAACTCCAACAAATGTTTTAAAAAAATTACCTCCTGTTCATGGTTTCAAGCACAAGTAGTTTCTGCTTGTGTTGTGTCATCTGGTTTGTGTTTCGCTGTTTCTGAAGAAGTTCATTGTGTTGACTTTATCAGGAGGGTTTCGAATACTGAACTGACATTCGCAGAAGCAAGGCCTCAGTCTTTACCTTTTCTGCATTTTTTTTATTTTGAGCTCAAATTCTTGGCAAGAGAAGACCTTGTCTTGGCAGTCGTGTGGTTTCAGCTTTGTACAGATATAGCCAAAATATATTTGCCAGATATAGGCAAAACGAATCATGGCTAGTTAACTGGGGAGTTGTCATAGGGTATTTGTATGTAGAAAATGTTTAACTTTCTGTCCATTTATATAACAAGTGCAGACTTCTCTGCAGTTCTCCACTAGCTTTGAGTGTACCCTGATTCTGAGCAATCTTGGGGGATGTTTTTCTTAATTCAGAAATTAGGCAACAGTTTGTTGCTGTGAAAACAGCCAGCAGTTTCATGTTTGTAAGGGCTTGTTGCTTCTGTTTTGCATTTCGTTCCAGGACAAGTAGCTCATATAATTTCCCACAAGTTAGCAAATAAAAAGACGACACTCTTGTAAAACTGGAGCAGCTGTTCAATTGGAATAGATCTGGTACAAAGCATGGAGGTATTTTATTTCTTTGATACTTCTGAAAAAGCAAAAATGTATTTCAATAAAATTGGTTTGTTGATAATATGGGAAACAGCACTTTTAAATATTAAAGTATTTTTTTCCAGTGCTGATAACCCCTGGTTTGGTCCTGCCTGGAATATTTCTGCTTCGGGGCAGGTCACTTTCTTCTGCAGGCTTTGCTGCTCTTTGCATGTCAAGCAAATAAATATCACATGACAGGCCTCCAGCCTCTCGGCATCTGAGTCCTGAAACAACCTATCAAAAACAATGATTCAGACCAAACAGGAAAAAATGAAAATGATGATAACTCTGACTCACGATTCTTGTTAACATGTATTTTGAACAATTATAGCTTTTACTTGAGAATTTCACCATGAAAAGATTCTTTCAGATATTTTTTATCCTAATGGCCTTGTGTGTTGGAAATCCAATGGAGCTAAACAGGGCACAAAGAAGGCTAAAACAGGCAATTGATTAGAATTTGTATTCTGTTAAGTGACCGTTAAATGTCATTTAGCTTTTTTGCTTTTCTATTGAACAGTCAGGGGTTCTGCTATGTCTATTCATTTTATGAATGCTTGATGGATAAACTCTTTGTAGGGTCACATCTCAGATTATTTAACAGAAGCTGCCTGTTTGGCTGAACTGTGCTCAATGTTTGTGTTGAATGCAATTCAGCATGTCAGGCTTGTTGGTAGCCTCTACCTTCTGTTGTAGGAAAATTAAACCACTTTGTACAGGCAGTCCTTTTTTAAAATTCAAATGGCCTTTATTATTGACTTGTAATTTTCTTAAATGACTCTTCAGTGGTCTATTAGATAATGCCAACAAGCAATCAATGTTATTGATCTGTATCTGATAACTCAGATACAAACATTGTTTAGCATAGGATCCCCACATTCTATATTAAACTATTGTTAGAGGACAGACCAAGAGGCTTGCAATGTGCATAAAGAAGCTGCAGGCCTGAAGCCAGTGCCACTGTGACAGGTCCAGCAAGAGGTTTGTGGAGCCATCGTTACATTTCTGTTCTGTTCAGGAACACATATTGTTGCTGAGCTGATGTGCAAATGGAATGGTCAGTTATTTATGTTGTACCAACTCAATTTTTAATAGCCAGTTATGTAATGTTCACAGGGAAGAACGAGGATGTGGAGGAAGATTGCTCCAGCTGCCCAATATTTTTCTTTACAAATACAGTGTATAACATTTCCTTTGCATGGCTTTTGCACAGTATGATTTGTAACAGTGGAATGCAGTGTTTGTATAAGGTTAGGTATTAGACAATGATAGAAATCTTGTTCCCTGATGAAACAAAATAAAGGATATATGAAATGATAAAAAATAATGGGTTTAAATAAAACAAACTCTCCCAGGGGCATATACAAATTCTGCCTTCGCTTTCTGCTCTTAACAAACTCATTAGGCCAGAGTATTGCCTCATAATACAAGAGTGCTTAAAAGGGTCCCACTGCACGGGCTAGTCTCTTTGTTTCTCTGTGGCCACTTGTATCATGTGTTTCTTTGCTGAAAAAAAGTATTCTCATTAAGTAGACTTATCCCTTATGGCAGCTGAAAGCCCTTTGGTGTAGTGTGGCTCTTTATCTGTAGAAGAGGTGAAATGTAATATGATTGAATAAATGGCACAGGGGAGTATAGAGTGAATTCTAAAAATTGAAAAGTATTGTCATGAGTGCTTCCTTGACAAGGTTTATACTTTTTGTTTGCTGTGGATATCAGCATTTATTGTATTGTATTTCTACTGTACTGTGTTGATTGTGCCTGGTTGCTGTAGCACTTGAGTTTCCTGCATGGGATTAATAAAGTACCTACTGTACCTACCTAGTCAGTCTTTCTCATCTGACACTCCTACACACAGCGCTGAGTCTGATCATCGTCCACCTCCATCTCTTATACCAGCAGCCTGATTTGTAGAAGAGATAACATCAGATCTCCCAGTTACAGTGCAGCTTCTCCTGACACTCCAGTCTGTGCCAGCATCTGAACACTAATATTTCTCTCACCAGCCTGGATGCCACATGTCATTGAGAATGAACATCTTTGGGATGAATTTGGATGTCAGCTGTAAGCCTGTATGATACACTGCCAAAAAGACACAAGGAACTGAAGGCACTATCTGTGTGGGAATAGAACAGCATAATCTCACCTCACAGTCAGTGAGGTGGTGCTTGTGTGGCCGTTTTGCTCTGAATGAGGGTCTTGCATTGCCCCAATTTCAGAAACAAGCGGACTTTGTCCCTGAGAGGAGTCCCACTAAAGCTGACTTGCTGCTGATTGAACATTAGCCAAGTTAAACAAAAATCAGCAACCTCTAAATGTAATTGCAGGCAATTTTATTCATTGTTTAATACATTACAATGGCTTCGCCATCGTCGCAAATATAATGCATATTATTATACCTGGTGGGTGAATGTGCAGACTCTACCATTGTACATCTGAGTGGTTGGAGTGGCTGTGAATGCTAATTAGGATTAAGGAAAGTGCTGGTTTCTGTGAAGCCTTGACTGTAACTCGTATGTGCTGTATGCTTTAATTGGTGTTTGTGCACCAGCCGCTTTCCTAGCTACTCCATTGAAATATTTTATTGTTCTAACTGTGCATCGCTGCTGAAGGCTAAGCTTGGTCAATGGTAAGAGGGGGTTACTGTTGTTCATAACATGTCAGTAGATTGGTTCATAATACCATGCATTATTCAGCACTTTGCAATTTACATTTTATTTTTTTCTTACAGTTGAAAGAGAAGTTGTTCAGAAGAGAACATTTACTAGGTGGATGAATTTGCATTTAGAGAAGGTGACTATCAGACTCTTATAAAGGAAATTGTTAAACATTTGAAATACAAGAGTGAAAGTGATGCACACCTCAGTTTGAATAACCCCAACTCTGTTACAAAATAAGTCATAAATAACTACAACACCTGAATCAGTCAGAATTGTTGGAAATCAATAAAAATTAATAGATATATTTATTTCATGAGCAACTATTATATGTTATGCCCTGAATAAGTTTCAATTGAGAGACTGCCTATTGCAATAGCACCTATTTAGAAGGGAAAATAGTTTTGCTGTTAATGAAAATATCAGTTAGTTCTGTTTCATATTAAGTGCAGTTTAATGGTGCGTGTCAGAGATACATTTTATATTTTTTAACGTTTAGGAATGCACAGCTATAATTACAGATTTCACTTTGTTTTTTATTCTATTTTGAATCCAAGTAAAAGGGAAAATAGTGTTTATAGAAGTTTTTTTAAAGGGCAACATTTATTTTCCTCAAAACTGATCAAATATGCAGTTATGGATAGCCGATTGTAGCTTTTTAACTTACTGTAGATATTTGAATCTGTCCTCTGTGCAATGTACTATGTTTATTTCTTAAAATTTGTAACTATTTATTTCTTAGATTCAGGTTTTATTCTAAAGCAGCCAAAGAAACCGATAGTTCAAAATGACTTTGGACTAGTTAAAATTTAGACAGAACATGATTTGGGAATTTCTCCGTGGGTGAAATCAATAATCGGTAAAACTATATGCAGGTGGTAATTACTTAAATGGAGCCTAATAATAAAATAGTCAATAATAAATGTATAAGAACTTTTACTTATTTTTAAAACTTTTTTTTAAATTTCAAATTTAATTGCTTTATAATATCGCCTTCTGTGTCAATCTGGTCATGTCCATAGGTCCTGTGACTGAATACACTAAGAGCAGATATGATTTGACGCAGATGTCGGTTAAACTAGGGAATTGGATTAGTTTTTACTAGATTATTAAAGCCAGCTTTTAAAAGTAAATAGTTTGTTACTTTTCTCAAATTGATAATAGGATTACACATAATTAGCAATTAACATTCAGTAAACATCTAGTGCTTAGTTTTTTTCATTAATTGCTTTCAGTTTTAGAACTTAAAAATTCTATTCTGGATCAAGGTTTTTCTTGATCCAGACCTGAATGATGCTAGTCTTAATGAGTACAGCAATTTGCATTTAAAAATTGACTTGATAAGAATTGTTCACACTAAAAAGCTCTAAATCATTCTATGATTAAAACTGAGCAGGACAGCAGAACACCTCGTATTTTTATCTTCTCTTTAAAGTTTTTATACAATGGTTAAAGAACTTTAACGACTAACTCTAATTAAACTAATTTACTTATAACAGTGCAAACCACCATTGGAAGTGAGCGATTTATTTACAGACATTCAGGATGGGCGGATCTTGATGGCTCTTTTAGAAGAACTCTCGGGCTGTAAATTGGTGAGCTCCCGCATATTTTTTTACTGTTATACTTTAATACATGCTTATTTGCAGTATCTTTCTTTAATGGTTAGGTTTTAAATTAAGTTAAGCATACTTAATGTCTATATAATTTAGTCCTTTGTTAACTTATAGTACTGTTATTCTAAATGTTAGTTCACCACCAATTTTTAATAGCTTCTTATGTCTTCCAGCTTCATGGATTTAAACCATCAACACATCGCATATTCAGGCTGAACAATATAGCAAAGGTCTTGACTTTCTTGGAGGAAAGAAATGTAAGCATTCTAAACTTCAATTCAGGTGCAGTTAAAGTCTTCTATGAGCTTTCCACTTATATACAGTATATACTGTATACACTAAGAACTGGATTATAATCATCTACTACTCTTGTTTTGCAATAATTTGCTTATTTCTATGAAATTCAGGTGAAGTTGGTCAGCATTGATGCTGCTGATATTGCAGATGGCAATTCTTCCATTGTCCTTGGACTGATATGGAACATTATTCTGTTTTTCCAGGTAAAATATTTACATAACCTCAGTAGCTCTTGCTGCCATTAGTTATTTTCTGTATCCAGTCTTGTCTGCAGGATACATTCTCCTTCAGATGAGAGAAAAAATAAATCTTTGTTGCCCTCAGTTAGTGTGAGTTTGAACTACAGTGTAGAACTTTCTTGGGCTTATGTGCTGAAAGATTCAAATGTGTTTTAAAAAAACAGAACCTACAGAAGTAGCAGAGAAATACAATCCAGCATGATTCCAATCTGGATGTGAGCCGCAGTTTCACTGCAAGCTTTGTCCCTGCTGGGATGTGGTCCTTGTGACACTGTTGCTGTTGGGTTTTCACTAAAACAAGCCATTTGACGTGAAAAAGAAACCAGTGGATGAGTGAACAAGACCACAAAAATACTCTGCATAGGTCCAGATATAATTTGAATTGTGAGCCTATTTTTGTTTCAATTTAGTTGCATTAATGATTAATCCCATATCTTTATGAATGGCCATTCAACAATAATTATGTCTTTTAAAACTTGTTATTAAACCCACAATACAGGAGAGTAAAACAAAGATGGTCCAGTGAGCAAAGCCTGTTCCGGAGACTTGATCATCTAACACACAGTACCTTTGTCTCCTACTTTTACAGATCAAAGAACTAACAGGAAATATCAAGAACAGGTTTCCTTCCTCCTCTAGCCTGTCCTCTCTGCCCAACAGCACTGATTCAGACACCTCACACCCCAGCACGCCCTGTGAGGAGCAGCGCCTGCCCAAGACCCCGAAGGACCATGGGAGAGCTATCAAAACACTCCTGCACTGGGTGCAGCGACGGACACGGAAGTAAGATGCCTGGTGTGCCTGCTGTAGCTGCAGGAGCTCAATCTGTTGTGCATCAGGGTATGAAAGCACGCTTGGAAAAGTGCACTGGGGTATTTCCATTGTGAAAGCACAGTGCGTTTAAGCCTTGGGAAGTTATGACTAATAATGCAAAACTACAAAATAAATATGTTTGAGAAACGGCCAGCAGCCATATCACACTTCAACTCACAACAGGCAACCCACTGAAGCTAAGCAGGTGTGAGCCTGGTCAGTACCTGGATGGGAGACCTCCTGGGAAAAACTAAGGTTGCTGCTTTAAGAGGTGTTAGTGGTGCCAGCAGGGGGCGCAGACCCTGCGGTCCATGTGGGTCCTAATGCCCCAGTATAGTGACAGGGATACTATACTGTAAACAGGTGCCGTCCTTCGAATGAGATGTAAAACCGAGATCCTGACTCTCTGCGGTTATCAAAAATCCCAGGGTGTTTCTCAAAAAGAGTAGGGGTGTAACCCTGGCGTCCATTGGCCCTTACCAATCATGGCTTCCTAATAATCCCCTAATAAGTATGAATTGGCTTAATTACTCTGCTCTCCTCCCCGGAGGGGAGGACATGGAGTTGATATGTGGTGAGAGTTCTGGCGCACTATGGCTGCCGTCGCATCATCCAGGTGGATGCTGCACATTGGTGGTGGTGGAGGGGAGTCCCCCATACCTGTAAAGCGCTTTGAGTGGAGTGGCCAGAAAAGCACTATATAAGTGTAAGCAATTATTATTATTATTAATTGATACAATACTACAATTCAAAAGAATTTTTTTTATCTGGCAGAAACAGTAACGTTAAAATGAATGACTGTTTTCCTAGTTTCATGTCTTAATTAGGAGGTTCTGATTCCTAGTGGATGATTCTTAAGATATGCATGTACTGTACTAGGCTTGTAATAATATTCAATATAATTGATGGCAACACCCTGGATACTTCAGTTATATCACTACAAGACTTTACATTTGCTTAAAATATAATGGTGTGAACATACGAAACATGGTTCATTTAAGGTTCTTAGTTAACAAGAACTGCAATTTAAAGATGAAAGTTTGAAATTTTGTGTGTTTTTCTTTGCTAACTGTGAAACAGCTGTCAATTCTGTCAGTATGTGGGCCACAAAAACAAATAGTGGTAGTTAATTCCTCTCTCAAAAGGCAGTTGAAACACAATGTTTGGGCTATAGAGCCTCTTCAGGCATGTGGAAGAGAGAGCAAAAATATGCGCAAAGAAAATTTGGTCTCCTCCTGCCTGTTTCTGACTTTCCTCTATGGTTATGAAGAGGCTAAATACCTTCTCTTTTCAGTGTGTAATTATCCAGCCTTTTGCTCTTGCATTTTCATTTTCTTTGAAAAACACACTAAACTACTGAGCATTATATATTTTTTTGTTTTAGTGTATGGCAATATTTTAATAAATTAATTTTCTAGAGAACAATAATTCATTAAAACACAAGAAATTAAAAAGCTAAATCCTTAGTCACACCGCTAACTAACCCAAACTGTTAAAAACTGTGAGTAAAGAACTTGTAATTGAATTCCAGACAAGAACAGAAAGAGCACATGGAAACTAATGTTTTAAGTGTGCTCCTTTATTTAGGCCAGATGAATGAAATAGGGAAACCGTCCAAATTATTTTGATGATACAGAATCATTTTGCAATTAATATGCTCCTCTATTAGATGTCTTTCGGTTCATCTTTAAAGCCTGCTGTACTGATCTTTTCATCAGACGTTTGTAGCTGCTGTAGAGTTCCACTGATCTTTTCTTTGATAGGTATGGTGTGGCTGTTCAGGACTTTGGAAAGAGCTGGACAAGTGGCCTTGCCTTTCTTGCCATTATCAAGGCAATTGACCCCAGCTTGGTGGACATGAGGAGAGCTCTGGAGAAGTCTCAGAGACAGAACGTTGAAGATGCCTTCAGAATAGCACACTACAGCCTGGGCATTCCCAGACTACTGGACCCAGAAGGTGAAACTGCACAATTATGCTGCAGCCTGAACTATTATACAACATGCTATTGAACATTATTGTGGGATTTTGAAATTATTTTATTGTATCTTTTTTTATTGTACAATATTGTACAATAAAAAAGATATCTCTCTTACTTGATATGTTTTTGATTTAAAAAAACACCAGGCAGATTTATCATGGAAGTTATTCATTAAACAGCATGTAAAAAAAAAACTTTTGTCTTTACAGATGTTACAGTTAATTCACCAGATGAACAGTCCATTATGACATATGTCTCTCAGTTCCTTGAACATTTTCCAGAGCATGAAGATGTGAGTAATCCTGACTATAACAGACAAATTTAAGGAAGAGTATAGACAATATACTTAAAATCTTTAACCTTTTGTACATACAAATTTGCTTTAAATTTCATAATGATTGAGAAAAATACCATAATTGTAGTTTCACATAAAAGATAATTAATTGTTTGGAAATTTACTATAAACATTAGTTAACTCACAGTAAAGAGCAGTTTTATTTTTTCTGCCATCCACAATATTTCTTGTTAAAGCTTTTAAACTGTTTCTTTGCAAATGGTTTCAATTCGACATGTCTGAGAGTCTTCTTGTCAAAGGCATAATGTGATTTTTAAAAATAATTTTAAAAATGTATTTATTCTTTTCACAGGAGGAGGTTTCTGAATTGGTTGAAATATCGGTTTCCGCTGCAACAGACAGCTCTGTGCTGAAGGAAGAGAGAATAAATGGAGTCAAGAGTGGGAAGCGCTCCTGTGTCGCGAGAACTGATTGGGTCCAGCTCCCACCAAAGATATTCATCTCCTCTGCATCAGATGATCCAGAACACACATCTCCCGACAGAGGTGGGCACTGTCAGCCCTGGGCCCACGGAGACGACTCCTCGGAGTCCACCTCCAGCTCCGCAGTATCTGCCGGGAATGGAAAACTGCCCCTGGAGCTGTGCTCTGAGATGTCCTTCCTAGTGTCCAGCTCGAGCTCCCCGCAACCCTCCTTCGTGGACTCAGTGCTTGACTCTCCGGACTCGCTGAGTGAGATTGCGAGTGAGTCCATGCCGCTGGATGGAGAAGGACAGTCTTCCGACAGCAGAAGCAGCAGCTCCCTCAATGAAAGCGATCCTCCTTTTGATCCCAATGGCAAGTGCTCCCCTGAGAAGTCAATAAAAACTGTAAAGAAAGATTATATCCAGGGCACGGAAACTCCACTAGAAGACAATGCTGCAGAAGACAACATTTTTTCTGACCTTTTTATCGATGAAGGCACTTTCTCACAAAGTTCTGTGGATAGCTTTCACATGAAATCCAAGCTTCTGTCTGAGGAAGAAGATGCATACAGATACATCTTGGATTTGAATGATGCTGAAAATGCAAGTCAGTCAGAGTGCTGTAGTGGTCAAGAGGAGATTAGCACACCCAGTGAAGCCCAGGACAGACTGGAGACTGCGCTTAAGCAGAATTGCCTGTTGCATCACAGTTTAGAGGAGATAGTCCCCTCATTTATGGCTTCGTCCAGTGCTGACTTGTGTGGGAATACTGTCCCTTCAGAGCAGGACAAAGAAAGGAATCAGGAAGGGCTGAAACTAGATGCATGCACCAGACCTGAAACTCAATGCACCACCCAGCTGCTTTGCATTAATGAACCTGGTGAAATGAATGGAAGTGTGGTATATAATGCTAGACAAAATAGTATTTTACCTGTGGACATGGTGTACTACCCTTGCTATGAAGAAGCCGTATCAAATGTTTCTGGAGCATTTTCAAAGCCGGTCACTGAAAGAAAGCAGCTTCTATCTGGTCCATCTTTAGGTTCTGACAGTGCTCCAGCACAGTCCGATCACCATAGAAACACAGAAGCCTGCACAGGGAATCACCCAGACATGCTAGAAACAGAACTTCATGCTGATCTGGAGCACCTTAACAGAGTCACAGAAAGGTCTTGTCATGGGTCCATGTCTGCACAGCAAGACAGGGGGACAGAGGACCACTACGAGTATGTGGTCAGTACTGACGGGGAAGTGTCCACAGACAGGCTGTCAGACTCCATCAGAGATTGTCTTGCAGAGCAAAGCCAAGGCTCCAGTCAGTATCAGGTATGCAGAGATTTGGAATTAAGTATATATTATTATTATTATTGAAATAGGGAATAAGATTACATGTTGTTAATGTGCTGCATCTTGTTTTAAAGATTTGTCTGACTTTTTATTCAAAAATGATTTATTATTAATCGGCTACCTGTTAAGCTCACTTATTTAGGGGAATATTCAAAGGATGAATGTATTGTAATAAATGAGTAACAGATGCCTTAGTTTACTTAGTAAAGTTAAATATTTTTAAATGTATCTTTGAATTTTTACACATTTTCATTCATATGTATCTTTCCTTTAGTGGGGAACAAGAGTGGTATTATATGGAAGTTGTATTATTTTAAGCAGGCTATTATAAAACTAGAAGGGTTGTACTATTTATTTAATAATACTGTATGAATTCCTGACTATCACCAACCAACCTTTTTTACTGCTGAAATGTACTGAAAGTGGTGGTAAAACTTTTTGGTAGCTAATAATTCATCACAACATGCATTGTAAATTTAAACTGATGTTCCTGAAGCTTCAGTGTTGAGGTATGTCAGTTCGATTATGTAGCCTGTGTGACACCTGTGCTGTTTCCCTTCTTTACTTAACTTAATGTCCTTCCCCTCTGGCTGAGTCCTTGCAGGCTGTGATTGCTCTCTCTTTATTCATGGCCAGGATGCAGGAGAACAGATTGAGAATAAAATGCCAGGAGGTGTGGATTGTGATAAGAAGGAGCAACAGAAAGAGGACTTCTGGGATTTAGAAGATGTAGAATCAGATGTGTCTGAGATCAGCTGTGAATTTATTACTGCCACAAAAGGACATACTGCTGCTGGAGAAAGCACAGACTTACCGAGGTACCACAGTTATCTGATGTAACACATAATATTCTCCTACATGGTATAAATAAGAAATGTTGTCTCACTGGTGATTGATGAATATAAAGATAAGGTAATATTTAATTATATTAGCTGTGCCTTAAAATGACATTTAGTTATTAAGATACTTTGAACTTAATGGCCTACTTGGAACTGAAAATTTGGTCTGTGCCACACGAGCTCATGGCCTTAATCTGCAGTATCCTAGTCAAAAGGAAGGAGTGTGCATGCTGGACACACCAGCAGGTGTTACTCTACTGCTCTGCGCCTTTGGCTCATGCGGTGTGACAGCTGCTGCGGTCTGTTGATATTCATGTCAGGGTTTTTACCGGAATCAGTCACAGTCAACAGGATACTTTTTTTAGCCTTTTGTCAAAAGCAGCATTTGCTCCCATTTCCCCCTTCAGTAAAAATGAAAGAGTAGTTCAGTAAAGTGGTGGAAAACATTAAATACATTTATTCTCTCTGAGCAGCACAGCGGCACCGTGTGATGATTCACTGAGAGAAAGCCACCTTTCTCACATGCTATACCTGAGGAAGCTTGATGACAGTGAGGACATTAAGGTAAGTTAATAAGAAACCCAGCCTTAAAGAAAGAATTCAGTCATTTTAAAATATCTCCCTATAATGTGCAATTTAAGCAATGTGTGATAAAGAAACCTTTAACTTTTTTGGAAGATTTTACTTCTCCATTAGCTGAATGTAGAGATGCATGTAGAAATTAGTTTTTTAGAAAGGTTCACCATTTCATTGGCTTGTGTGGAGATTAAATCTAGAACATATTGCAGTTGTTTTATCTACCTCTACAGTTTCAGACTTGGAAAAACTCAACACATCTGTGCCAAGTTGTCTCCATTTAACACGAAGCATGCAAAGGAAATGAACAGGTGTTTTTTTTTTATCTTAACAGGAGACAAGCATGAAGATCAAGGCGAAAGGGTGTGAGACAATTCAGACAGTTAGTTCTGATACCAGGTATTTTATATGAAGACGCCTAAACATTGTACTGTAATTCTGCCCACATTTATCATTGTATACTGTATCACATCACCTCACTTTATTAGCCACATACAATTGTCTTGCATTAGGAATTCATCTTCTCGCATACCCCAGGTTGCTCTCCATGAGACACAGACACACAGACAGGGAGAGAAGCTTGGGGTCAGAGCGCAGGGTCAGCCATTGTACATTGTACAGCCCCTGGAGCAGTTGGGGTAAAGGGCCTTGCTCAGGGGCCTAACGGAGAAGAGTTCCTCTGTCGGCCACAGGATTTGAACCAGCCACCTTCCAGCCACTGGCATAGATCTTTAGCAACAGTGCCACCACTCCGCCTGTTGTAGACTGTTGCTGAAACAAATACTAAAAATCATTAGACAAATATTACAATTACATTGTGATTATTGATTGATTTATGATTATTTTAAGGCTTTTCACATAATTTATACATTTTATTAAATATTTCATCTTACTTTAAATTATTAACTTATCTAGATGCCACCTTAATGTTCAGATCCGGAAGTGCAAAATGGCTGCTGTATTAATTAATCAGTCAATCTTTTATTTGCTTTAATTGCCTTTGCAATAGTTTGTCACAGAGCGCTTTACACATTCACAATATAATGGTTTAGGCTTGGTCATGCATGGAATTTGTTTGGAGTACAAAACAAATTGGACCTTGAAGGATATAGTAAGAAGATGAACAGTTTATCTGTATCTTTTTCCAACAGTAGAGGCTAGATAGGTCGAGTCAGTCACAGTTAAGGATTAAGGCAAAGATAGAGAGCACAGGGTTCACCAAGGAAGCCTAAGAGGCTGGTTGTGCCGCTTGTAGTGGGAGCACAGAAAGACAGTCTTCCAGCAGCACGCAGTGTCATGTAGCAGGTCAGAATGAATACAGAATGACACAATAGGCTCTGTGGTATTAACAGTTCAGAGAGTCTCAACAAATCCAGTACTCTTAACTCGGTAAGTGAATTCTGCAATTCTGTATTGAAAAATGTGACTCGTACACTTACAGGTGTCCTGGATCTGGAAGTAGCTCTTAGAGCCTGAAGAAATCATCGTTACTCACCTTGTGCTCACATTCAGTGAGCCTTTTGTTCTGTTCCACAAGCTTTCTGTGTGTGTTAATATTGTACACTCATCAAATTAGATATTACCAGGTGTTGTCTACTTTCGTTTTTTCCCATGACAACCACTTGTAAGTTAAAGTTCTCACTGTGCTGCTGGAGGATCTCAGATACAGAGGTCTGCACTGCCTCATGGTGTTGCAATCACCATGCTTGAGTCAGAGGCTCATCACCTCCTTCATCACAGGGTGAATGAACCCCTGGACATTGCCTGAATGGGAGCTCTCTTATCTTGCAGAGAGGAGTACAGCGGTTCAGAGAGCTCGCCAGAGACGCCTGTCAGCTCTTCGGAGGACTGCATGCAGCTGCTGCTCTTCCTGTGGATCCTCCTCTATTGCCTTTTTCTCATCCCCCAGCTGGACCTTGAAGCTCTGCCACATGCTCTCCTTGCACTGAAGAAATGAGGAGCTCTGTTACATGTTACAGGCTTCACGGAAGGTCACAATCGACAGAGGACAATCAAGAGCACAGAATGTTAATCTACTCATGTTTGTACATATGCATTTTTGTTTTATTTTTACTTTATAACTTATTACTGACTTCGTAGCCCAACTGGAATCTGAAAGGACACTAGACTGCAAGGAGTCACTAGATGGTACAGTAACAGCGCTGCACACGGTTTACTGCCTTTAGAAAGTCTTTTATTACAGTGTTCTGTAGTTTATAAATAATTATTATTGCTTGTAAAAGAGCCAGTCATTCTAAGTGGAAGGATGGTACAGTTTTTTTCACCAGTGGATATTGCAGCAGTAGTTTCAGTTTTGAAATATGCAAGGTGTTATGTCACCTTGTGCCACTTTAAAGCATTAGTCCATGGACTCCACATCAGTCTCTGTGTTCCTATACTTGTGCTGCTTACATTTTCTATAGACAGAAACTGCCAAAGATACAGTACAGTATTTAGAGTGGAGAAAGGCTGGGCCTCTTCTTTTGCTTTGCTTACAAAGTAAATACAGTCTTGGTCTGTGCATTCTTTTGCATTTTAAATTAGGCAAGCAAGTTTTAGTGTGAGAGAGTGTTTAATTTATAATTGCTTTTTTGCCAAACATGAAGAAAATAATGGAACTTTTTGTGTCGCAAATAATTTTACATAAAATGTAAATATATAGAATGAATACTGTATTCATTTCTATTTTTATTGTTTCTTTCGTCATAAGGTTTATAAATTCTTGATTTCAGAATTCTTGGGATATTTAAAGATCTAAAAATGCACTTATTTACGTATAATTACATTGGTAATATTTAAAAAATAGTCAGGCTTTAAAATTGTTTTTGTACAATTTATATTAATGAGAATGGAACTACAGAACTTTAAAGGTTTTATAATGGATCATGTATTAATTGTATTTCTTTTGTTAAAGGATGTTAAAAGGTTTCAATATAGTGCTTTACAAGTAATCTGAAAAAAACTAAATTTTCATACGAATGAGTTCTAATTAAACTGTATAAAATGGTAGATTTTTTACTGTTACCCGAATGATTAATTTTTAAGCTATGGGTTTGTAGAGAAATTTACTTGTTTATAGTGAACATTATTATTATTTAGGTGTAAGTACTGTTTAGCTTTTGCATTATTGAGTAACCTGACTGTATTTTTACTGTCACTGTTATTGCAATTTTAACACGTATATATAATTTTTTTTAATATAAAAGTTGAGGTTTTATTGAAGTCCGATCTTCACGTTATATGGTTTGTTTTACACATGTAATACAATCGGTCTAATTCCAAAAGAAGAGACCTAGTAATTGCAAATACCTGCATCATGCTTTTGTAAAGGAAGTGACAGGCTGCTCCACTTGTATCAGTCAAGTCAAGTGCAATAAATTATGTAGATGTCCTATGCCGAATGTAGTGTTTTTTTATTTTTTGAGTTCAACATCATAATGTGATTCTTTCTGTGATTTTATGAGAAAGCATCTGATTCTTTGGACTCTCCTGGATATCGGTAATTATGAGACAATACTTAGTGCCATAATGGCTGTTAATTCTCCTCACGTCATATACACAGTGGAGTTCATTGTAATACAGCACACACACTGAAGGACATGAAGCTGTTTCATATGTTGCACGATTTTCTATGCCGAAGGATCCTCCAGGGGTGTAAATCGAAAACGTCACAGTGATTTTGCCAAATTATTTTTTAAATAACATGCCAATATCCTGATTCAAATTTGAAAGCTAAAAGGGAGATGTATAAAGTGTGGATTAATTATAATTGTAGTTCAGGTGGGTAGCTGCGTCAGCATGCGTAGGCTGCAAAGGAACAAGTAATAGGTTTATTCCATGCTGGAAAAAAAGAAGAAAGAGAACACAACGTTTCGGCCGTGGAGCCTTCTCACACCTGAAGAAGGCTCCACGGCCGAAACGTTGTGTTCTCTTTCTTCTTTTTTTCAGCATGGAATAAACCTATTACTTGTTCCTTAATTATAATTGGTCACATAATTAATATAGTACATTCTAGTACAGTAGTATGTTAATATATTAACGTACAAAATTATTAGGAAAGTGACAATCTTTTCTAGCACAGACACAGATATTTTATTGATCAGATCAGTAGATTCATTATGCTGATTAATATTTGTCATCATCTTGGCTGATCAGCTCAGGGGGCTAGTAGCATGTGTGGCCTATGCTGGGAGCAATACAAGCTGCACATCTGATTCCATGCACACACAGCAAACAATGGCTAGTCAAAAGGCAGATTCAGACCATCAAAGCTCTGTCATTGCCTAGTTGCCACCCTGAATACTTCCAGTCCACCCTCAGCTCATCCCTACTGTCCCAGCTCCGCCAGGCACAGAATGAGCAGAAACCTCTGATGTCATCCTCGTTATGTGACACCACACATTTTGATAGTGTAACTAAATTCTTTCATAATGACAAAATTATAACAAAGTTATTTCCAAACTAGTACATCTTCTAATACATTGCTGACTGAAAGTTGTCACTTTTAAGCAAATGTGAAGGCTTAAAACAAAATCGAACAAATTGCAATGTGGAATAAAGAAAAATCGTATTTTTTGTGTACAGTGACATCTAGTGGATATACGCTGAGGCAAACAGGTAATACTTTATTTTACCCATAATTTTTCCAGTTTTTCTAACGGAAAATGTACGGGTTTTGATCTTCCGTCGCCAGTACTAGAAAATATGTAATTACTGTGGTCCCACTACGAAGGGAAATCAAAATGAAAACAGTCTGTCTTTAGTGCAGGCGTGAAATACATGAGGTTTCCCCTGCATACTATTGAACAGTTAAACAGAAGATTCAAGTTTGCGTAATAATTTTCAGCACACTTACTGTCACAAAAGAAAACCATTTTGTGTCCAGTGATCTCAGGAAGAAAGTTGTAGTAGGTTTCCATCAGCAACCCACTGCTAACGAGCTCACTACACATATCACCTGTCTCAGCTCCTTCAGCTCTGACGAGGAGGTGAAAGTGATGAAAAATGCTTAATATATTACCTAACACCGAGTACGTGGGCATGTGAGGTGTTTGTAAATGGTCATATTGGTGTGCTACTGTGACTAGGATGAGAACGTTATTGAGCTGTAACTAATCAAAAGTCTCTTTAACTCATAGTTACGAATGCTGCAGGGTGTTTTTATTGAGTTAAGTATGTATTCCTATTAATTTAACTTTATTCGTGATTCTGGAATAAATTCGTTTCTAACCCAACCACGGTTACAAATGAGAGGACATCCGACCGATCTGGAGCATGTTTTGATCAGAAACTAACTGATCCGAGTATTTCATCCAGCTATTTCTTTACAGAGCATCGTCCTCAGCACCATGGGAGATCAGCTTGTCCCACACACCCACAGCCCCGTGTGAAGTTCTCCTGTTTTCATTGTTGCTTCTGAAGAAGTCAACTGGGTTGATTTTGTCGGAGCCTTTGAGGATTGTGTTATACCTGAAGCTGGTCCCCTTGCTGTCTTCTCTGCTCAAAAGGTTAATTTTTCCAGCTTTGAGCTAAATGTGTATATGATTGCTCTTTCCGGCACTGATTCTGGGGCAGTTATATCTTTTTCTTTCGTATTTTGGTAACCAAATATGTACACAATATTCTAAACGAGGTGTTAGCTGTGTTACCGTCTAAAATTCTGCCCTTCTAAATATGTTGAGCATATACAGTTTCTCCTCTTGGACTCTCCAAGTCCCAGTCCCTCCCTCGCATAGCCGACACACGTCACAGACGGGGCGTTCCCTAAGCACTGCAGACTCCCCGCCTCTCAGGCCGTATCCAATCAACGCGCACTCTCTGCTGAGACCACACCCGCTCGCCCCTCGGCAGCCCAATCGGGGCGTGTCGCCAGACGGTTTCTGGAAAAAAATGACGGGGGCAACGTTCTGCAGGGAATTTAACACGCACAGATGAGCGAAGGGGACGCAGTGTACAAGGCGCGCTCTGATTGGGCAGTATGCCATGTATAACCTTTGCCCCCGGTAAAATCACCAATCGAATGTCTCGTTTCATGTGTTTCTTCCTCGGCGACAAAGCTAGATTTCGTATTCGTAACTTCTTGTGCGCAATGTCCGGGTGGCACTGATGCGCTGTGGAAATGGGGGCAGTTAACGTAATGTGCGTAGTGGTTGTCAGTGCAGTCTCGGGCCCAGGTGAATGGGAGTATCGTGGATTAATCTGACAGCGGCAGGAGGGAATGGCGAAAAGAGTAAACACACAACAGACGTTTTTCTGCAAGGCGCTGAACTAAGGGCGTTTCATTAGGTAAGCAAGAGAGTATTTCTGGAAAGGGGATTGGGTTTGAGTGCTGTTTCGAGTGTTTTTGCGTCGTTTGCATGGAAAGGTGAAATGTTTGCTCGCACACACAAAGAATCAGAATGCAGTCGTGCCTGTAAAAACAGAGTGTAAACACACGTCGAGGTGGTCTGGACTCCTTGCTCGTTTTGCACGTCTGTCTCTTAGCACTTTATTTGTGGGACTAGGTCGTCCCATCAACGCAAACATGCAGTTATAATCTCCAGACCGCCTCCCGGGGACCACAGACTGATCAGGCCAGCTTTCTTTCCTTCAACACATGGCGTTATTGTGTTCATGTCTTCAGGGTAACAGACTTTAAAAATAATATATATATATTTTATTTTTAAAGACCAAGATTCTTTTACAATAGGAAGCCTGTGTTCCCAAGTCTATAACAGTTTTTTTTATTAAATCTGTTTAAAATAGTGATATACTTTGTTTTAAAAGGCCAAGGTCGCGTTGAGGCCTAGTCTGCTTTACCATTTCTGTGTATTTTTTGTATTTCTTTTTCTGGATGATAACGCAACCGATCTGCTGTGTCAGATATTTAACTATCACCCAACGGTATGAGTGTGGAGTGTCGGTCCCTAATCGCTTTTTCACGGGTTGGTGATAAGGGCATTTTCTGTTTTTCCTCTGCACTTTCAAGCCACGTTAATGGAACTTTGTTTTAAAGAGGCTTTTCTCAGTTTTTAATGTAGGGAGTACCTCAAAGCCGATTTTTCAAATAGTTTGTCAAGCTATGTATGTCCATAACAAAACCGGATAGACGTCGTAGTAAACGGAGCTTGGACGTTTTTACTGTATTGCTTCCAGAGGTGTTGGGAAGCATAATGTACTCATGAATGTCTATACAGTGCTTTGTACCAATGCTCGCTCAACATTTTCATGCTGCCCCCCGGCTCTTTTAACAGGTAACGTTGAAATAGTTGTTATATTTTTGACAGTTTGTGTTTACTTTGTGGTGTGTAGAGTGCAATCAGTTGTGGAAAAAATCAGAATGCTGGTCCTTACCTTCTCCACAGGTATTCACGAAACCATGTGGGTTTCTCGGTTATCTGGATATGGAAGTAGTTTATTTCTTTGGCTGTTTTTTTCTTAGTGAGGAGAGTACTGTATGTTGTATGGAGCCATGTGCGTTAACATTCTTTGTTAAAAAAGAATGATGATCAGATTTCTAGCTCATGTCTTCAGGAGCTAAGTGACTTCGACTTTTCCTCCCTGCTGAGAAACTTGAGATGGGTTACATTACCCCCTCAGAAATGTTTTCGAGGTACAGTGGTGTGTCTGGAATCAGGAGTGTCTGTAATGATGAGCTTCACCAGACCTGAAACAAAGACGTTTTCTGTTCAGATAAACACACAGTCAGCCAATTGCAGGCTTAAAATGAAACAGATTTTGACAACCCTGTTTTGTGGATTAGGCTCTGCATCTCATCCTTTGATCTGGATTTACTTACTTGGATGTTTTTGGCTGAGATCTTGTTTAGGTTCTTTTTACCCCACAACACAGGTGGCATTGCATCTGCCATGCTTCATTAAGAAGTGATTCCAAGCACAGTCACCCTGGTTTTGTAACACTTTGCAGGGCCAGTTTGTTGTGGGTGTGCTCCACTGGGGACAAAAGTACATAAACAGCCAGAAAAAGTTCACTGCCCAGTGTCTGGATTACAGTATGGTAATATGGTCAAAGTAGTTATTAAGATATTACTGCAACTGATATATACTGCAATTTCCCTCACGGGATCAATAAAGTATCTATCTATCTAAGATAGATGAAAGCATTATAAAAAAGGAATCTTGCACAATGTTGTGTTCCAAAAAGAAGATGTTATTTATTTTCTCAATCATAAAAATACACAGTTAATATAAAAGCAAAATACAAGCAAGTAGTATAGCACAGCTGTTTTCTTACTCGTTCTGTATCCACTACTCCTCTCGCCATTCTGGTAACTAACTCCAGTGGTCTTCTGGCAAGACACAGTCTTTGCAGCTGCACTTCTAAATATTGTTCTACAAACAAGAACGTTACAAATCTCAGTATTAAATTACAATAAGCGCTATAAACATTTAAGTAGCATTGTAATGTGTCCCCATAAAGCCCTTTAAAATGTGGAATTGCATCTTGCCTGGATTTACCTTTTCTGCTAGAGATGGGTAAATGTCTAACTTGGATTGTAAACTTTTCATAAATATTCAGGATATAAAAGAATCAAGTGTTTTTCTTTAGTGCAAAAAAAGCACTTGCTTCGAGGTAAAAGTACTTAGCTGAATGAGTACTGCAAGTGTTAGTTACACTTGTAAAGCATGTGCTCTTTCTTGTCCTATCTGGCATTTGACTCTGTGGAACTAGCTTACCACAGTATATCATAGTTGTAGTTGACCTTAATATTTTTCCTAGAAATGAAAGTGCCTTAAGAAATGTCTTTAATATCATTCAAATGAAATCAGCAAATGCAGTACACATTTTAAAGCTTGAGCTAATGATATTTGACTTTGTGTAATTAAAACATTACTCAGTCATTTGTAATTATTTCTGTTGGTTTCATGAACAGCTGTCAGTTTAATCAAAAGAGTGCTGGTATGGAGGGTGAAAGGAAACATATGTCAAGCAAATGTTGCTGAGTTCAGTGGAGCTATTTTATTCCTGACATTAAAATATTTATTGGAATAACTTAGATGTGTATATGTGTTCTACATAGTGCAAGTAAGCCCTTTTTTCCACAGAGAAAAAAATGAAAGGTTAATTTTTAATTTTTTCATTCTTTTTTTTAAATACTTTTGCCCAGAAAGGAGCGATATGATGTAAAATAATCTACTCAGACAAGTACTTTAATCACGATTCCCTAACTGAATGGAAGTCCAACCTGACCAAATTGTTGGTTGCATCTGAACTGAAAGTTATTATAAGAAGCAAAGGAACAAGTAATATGTCTATTCCATGCTGAAAAAGAAGAAATAAAACACAATGTTTCGGCCATGGGGCTTCAGACCTGAAGAAGGCTCCACAGCCGAAATGTTGTTTTCTTTCTTCTCTTTTCAGCATGGAATAAACCTATTACTTGTTCCTTTGCAGCCTACGCATGCTGACACAGCTACCCACCTGAGTTTTTTTAAGAAGTGCTGGTTAACCCCTTTACATTACTAGAATTGCTTAGAAATTCTTTACCCATCTGAAACCCCAGTGAGGCTGTAATAGGGGTCGTTGAAATCTGCACATTCCTGATAAAAATGTCATTATAATACCAGAAAAGAAACTGACACTGGCGTCTTCTGCTGTGGGTGTTGCTGTTGAAGAGCAGGAGAGCTGGGTTGTGGAGGAAGCTCTGCAACATTTTCTTCCTTCCTGAGAGGCTATATTAGCAGCAGCTCACTGTATTGATGAACATAATTGGAAAAGTGTGCATTGTTACACCTACTGACAGCCAGTCTGTGCTTACTGGTGACCATTTAAGCATTGAGCTTTATTAAGAAATCAGGCAGTCTAAGACATGTTCACACCTCAGTATATTTAGGTGTTAAACTTGTTGAATTTATGAGTAGGAAATTATTTTTCTTTAAAGAAGGTTGTGCTCCATCTCACCAGAACCCTGACCCCTGCACCACACTGTTTTCCTTTAGCTGCGTGTTTGTGATTATCATTTACTGAGCTAATAATCTTTCCTACAAAATGTTATTTTCTTCATAAATTGATTTGATGAAATCCTGAATTTTGCAGACATTTACATTAATTTGCAGAATTATGCAGTAATTAAACTACCCTATTTTAAGTAAATATATACAGGCATTGTATATGTATAGATTTGTTTTGCATTAGAAGTGCTGTATATTAAGTGGACTTTAAAAATGGCACATTTGTATCAAGGTTGGATGAACATCATAACTGGAAATGAGTGGAAATTTACAGATACTTACTAGTCAAGCTCTAGCTCCAAATGACTATTCAAATACACTTAAGTTTAATGCAACACTGGAAAAATCAGCAATGGAAAAAGTGTGGAAGACTAACCTGTCTGGCAGATGGGCTGAGCAGGTGTGATGTATTTTTTCCGGAATATATCTATTCCTTTGGAAGCTAGGGATTTAGACTGGGGAAAAATGACTACTAGTACAGCTCAGAAGTTTACAAAATCTGTCTGTTGCTTTTTTAGTAGTACGTCTCTGCTGCAGCTGAATGTGCTTCTAGCCGTCAGGGTTATTTGAAGTGATTTTTCCCTTAGCTGATCTTGAGATAGAAATAAAATGCTTTAGCGTCAGAGCTCAGTCTGTCTCAGATTTGTTGTTTTCCTGTAGCAGATTCCGATTTAAGCCTGTTGTGAGATGGTGTTTCTGGAATTTGTTTTTGAGCTGTGGTGTGTAGATGTAGAGGTGTCGTGACTAGTGGAAAGCTGTGCAGTTGTGGTGAATGTGTGGACAAGGAGAGAGAGGCGGAAGGTGTTTTCTCCGCCACCATTTTCACTGCTGAAAACAAAAGCTTTCCTCCGTCGTCTTGTGTATGATTCTGTCTGCATCCTCGTCTTCTTGCTGGGGCTGGTAGCAGTGTGGTGGTTGTAGTGCTTTACTTTCCACACCTCATGCAAAAAAGGAGCTGAAAATGGTTTGAGGATACATAAGCCAGACAAAATTGTTGCTTTTCGTGTTTTTTTCGTGCATTCCTGCTTGCATTCAGATTCAATTGCATTCAGATTCCTGGTGTGGAGCATATTTTGAGCATCGTGCAGCTCGGAAGTGATTGCGTGAATAATTCCTCCTCATCATTTCCACCTTCCTGCCCCGCTCTCTCCCAGCCCTGTGTGCATTCTTTGCCCTTGGCAGAGTGTTGTTTTCTGTTTGTGTGTCTGTGCGTGAGGCTGGCCTTGCCGTAGTTGACAACAGAAATGGCTGCGCAGGGTCATGTTCAGTGCTGCAGTAGCTGTTCCCTGTCAGCACCGTCGTGGAGCAAGAAGCGGGCAGCAAAATCTCAGCTGGCTTTGGCCTCCAGACACTGAAAGTCGCCTGTCTGCACTGGAGAGCCTTTGTCCGATGTCTTGCTTGGAACAATTGAAATGCAAATGTGGGTTTAACCCGGTTAAACTCGCTGTTTTGTTGTAGAACTTGACTGGGTCTGTGGTATGTGGCCTATCTGGCTAAAAGTTATCCTCAGGATTTAAACGGCCCAGAATACTTCTAGTGATTGCAATTAGTTGCATGAAAAGCAAAATGGAGCTTGTGGACACAAGACTTTAGGTGTAAAAAATGTTGTGATTTTTTTTTTATTAAAAAAGAGGCACGTTATTTATTTTTCCATTTTTTTGTGTGGTCGATGATTGTGATCTCTCTTACAGACGTAGGAGCGTAGCACAACAATGGCTGCTGTTCTCTGCAGAAAAGCTCTGGTGACAGTAGTCATGCACAGCTTTCTGCTCCATTACAGACTTCAGAGGTTAAGATCAAAATTTGCTTAAAATCTTAACCTTCCATTCAGAATTCCGAATATTTAGAATATTTAGGGAGATCTCGGTGAAGTTTACATTTTGTGTTGAACAGCAGTGTTTAAATCTGTTGTCATTATCCTGTGTAACAGAGTTTTGTACATCTTTTTTTCTAGCCCAATTCAATTTTCTGTGTATTCTATCTGCCTGTAACAAGGTGGTAAATTACCTATTAAATGCCAGGACATTGCAGAATATGATTTTTTTTTACATTGTTGAGATAAAAGGAGAAAAAAAAGAAGTGATCCGGAAGAGGTTTTCCAGTTCATTAGTTAAAGTAGTTTTAATCATCACATTTGGCAGAGTGCATGAAGTGTTTTTGTACTGCATATGTATGCATTTCTGATCACAAAATGAGTAGTTTGTTTTACATGTAAAGAACCAACAGCTGTAAAGGGAGAAGTCTAATATTTATTTTCTTGTATATAGTCATTCTATTAAAATAACTTGTTTAAAATCTTCTTTTAATTAACATACAAGGCAGGGAAAACATGAATAGGCAATTGCAGAGCAAAGTGGAAAAAAATGGTTGCTGTTTAGGCTGTTTTTGCAAGTTGAACTGTATCACAACTGCCCAGGCTTTTAATGATTAACATTAGCTAAAGCAAAAACAAAGGCTGCTGTGTTTCAGCAGTAAAAAGTTGCTTGATGGAAACTTTACTACTGAATGCGTTTGATTCTCTGCTGTGCTGATTCTTTTCTACTGCTTCTCTGCAGTGCAAGAAAAGTGTACCAACTTCTCAGGCTGGACCAGTGTGGAACAAGAGATTAAAAGGTAAGAATGGTTTTCTTGCACCTTTTCCTGATATGTTGTATTTGTTCTGGTGGTCTTCTCATTTCTCACAGCTGTTTGGAGTTCCCCAGGAAGTCCCTGAACTTCAAACACACACTTCTGTTTTTTTCTCTGATTTAAAATATTAACTTTGGATGTTGTAAACAGTTCAGTGAGTCCCACCTTTACAGACTAACTGCAGTTTCAAGTAGTTTCATTTATTATTCATTTTCTTGTTTTGGTATTTACTTCCTGTGAATCTTTCAGGAGGCTAATATAATATTGAAGATTAATATGAGCTGACTTGAAGCAGCTGAACATGAAGCCAAAAATTCTCACTAACTGGTCGCATATTGAAGTCTCTAAAACAGAAACTGTAAGTAAACAGTTACTCTGAATATCATTCAAACCAACAACGTATCTGAAAGTAAATTAATATAGATGTTTTAATTACAGTCATGTGAGTGTAATTTAAAATTCCGATAAATAAAAACCCATTTTAATCATAACTTTACATATGAATGATTATACATTTCTAGTTTCTGTATTGTAAAAAAAATATTTTTTATCTTTCTCCATTGTGGGCCTGTTACTGTAGTTGTGTTTTTAAGAAAGTGTGCGAGTGGCCTATATCTTGGTGTTATTTCTTTCCAGTAAGCTTCATGAGGACAGAACGGAATGAGATAAACACTGGAGAGTAGAAGCCCTTGCTTTGCAATTCCTAAGCATGGCGGGACTACAGCTGGTGACCCCTGCTTCATCGCCAATGGGTCCCTTCTTCGGACTCCCATGGCAACAAGAAGCAATCCATGATAACATTTATACACCAAGGAAATATCAGGTACCTGTACATTGATTGGAAAACCATATGGAAAAATTGTTGTTTTCTGTTTTCTGGAACCAGCACAGAAAACCAGTATTTGTCTGCTTTTTGGTTTCCCGTTTTAAGGATAAGATCGGCTTTCATTTCCATAGGCATTTTGTGCTTGCATGATATTTAAGTAGTGTATAAGAAAGTTTAATCCTGTATCGTTTTTGTGTTGTATATTGCAAATATGTATGAAACATGCTGTTTAAAAGTTGTGGTTTTGGTGGTTGGAAAGCCTGCCTTTTGCAACAAGGAAGACAAACATCACGTCGAATTGCTCATGTAATATCTGTACCGAATGTTTTAGTACCAGTGTATATCATATTGCATCTCTGCTGAATTTAATTTTCCATTTGTCTGTTCACTCCTTTATTCTGCATTTTCTTTGTCACTATTTTTTCTGTTTGCCACTCCCACTATTTTTTATCATCAGTTTTAATTTGTTTGCTAATTAAATCAGAATTTGAGTAGATTATTTTTAATCTGAGAAGCAACCTTTTATAAGAGACTTTATCAAAAGTTTACTGGAAGCCTAAATATAAATATCATGCCATGTGCTCCTGTTTTATTGCCTATCTGTATTGCTTTATGGGTGGGTTTCTTTTCCAAAGACTTTATAGTATTTTTACACAGCCCTGAGGTTTTTAGTTTTTCTTCCTTAATGATCAGTTTTTAATGTGTGCCCAGGGCACAATCCTAGAGTTTAGTTTATCCATCCAAAGGTGTTTGGTTCCTGTGGCGGGAACCTGTACTCTGTCCTGGCATACCTTGAGTACAAGGCGTAACTTGTATGTTTGTAAATATTGTTTTGTTTAGAGTTAATTATGAATTTTAATTTGGTAGGTTGAACTTCTTGAAGCAGCTCTTGAACACAATACTATCGTCTGCTTAAATACTGGCTCAGGGAAGACATTTATTGCAGTACTTCTAACAAAGGAACTCTCCCATCAAATCCGGGGTGACTTCAGAAAATGTGGGAAGAGAACAATTTTCTTAGTTAATGCAGGTAAGACTGTAAATGAGCCTTGTTTATCTTGTAGTAGTAGTACCATATAAGATAAGACTTTATTGATCCCGAAGGGAAATTGATGTGTTACAGCAGCCCAGCCCAAGACAAGCAAAAACGGACATCAGAATAGACGAAAAATAAAAATACCCACAGTAATACAAAATAAATCTAAAGTAACTACATAGTTAGGTGTGCGTGAAATATGCTCATAGTCGCTGTATGAAGTATTATGTTTTAGGCATGCAGCTAAATGTGTTACAAATAGAAGTGAAACCCGAGCATCATGATCTCAGTACTTGTTAGTAGGTATCCTACAGATGTAAGAAGTTTTGGAACATAAAATGCTGCCATCAAGCATAGTGTCATCTGTCCCATGTGGCTCATAGGCTAAGGTGGAATTTAGATGCTATATTGACACTAGTGACGTTCTACACAAGAAGAGTGCGCTTTAGTATTGCTTCCTTTTGCTGAGTCTGGATTATAGTACGTTTTACCCAATTAGGGTGCTGCCAGGGCTGTCATGAGCACCATACATCTGTAGAGCATGTATGTTTCTCTTTTCAAAGCCTCATATGTGACTCAGCAAGCAGCCACAGTTCGAACACATTCAGATCTTCACGTTGGAGAGTACAGCAGTCTCGAAGACACTTTGCCATGGACAGAAGAGAAGTGGAATCAAGAAATGACTGAAAACCAGGTAAGATTAAAGTGTTTTTCTCACCTTTGCAGAAATTGCCCTTTTGTCCATTAAAGAAAGTCTTTGGGGAAGACTGCTTTCTTCATAGAGATAATTCCTGCTTGTCATTGCATTATTTTTCTTTGACCTGGTTTATATAGCAAGGTTTACAAGCAAGTTTTTTTTTTTTTTTTTGCAGGTGCTTGTTATGACTTGCCACGTCTTTCTGCATGTTTTGAGAAATGGATTCTTGCCACTATCTAAAATCAACCTGCTGGTGTTTGATGAGTGTCATCTTGCAATTATGGACCATCCCTATCGGGAGATCATGAGGGTGAGTTCAAGGTGTCGCCTTTTGAGATGATAAAATTAAAGGAAGAATACATCATTAACAAGTCTGTAAATGTGCTTTTGGAGTGGCTCCGCCGGTACTGCTCTGGATGTTGAAAGCTTGTGGCTGGGATTCCCCATACGTTGTTTCAGATTAGCCTTAGCGTTGCCAGGGCCGAGGTTGAGATTGGTAAGGTAGGGCTCACTGGGTTCCAAACAAAATAACCCCTTCCTGCTACTTCCAGCTGTGGCTCTGCACTTCCTGAATCTCACCATGGGGGTTATTCCTGCTAGCTCTAAATTTAAAACAACTAATAAACCATGGGAAGTGTGTGTTTAGCACAAAGGTTTGACTTTGTGTTTTGAAAGAAATTATATTGCAATAAGATTAACTTTTATCCTTTAATTTTCTAACTGCTTTACCCTATGAAGGGTTGCGGGTGCTCCGGAGCCTATCCCAGCAAGCAGTGGGTGCAATGCAGGATGCATGCTGGATGGCACACGAATCCATCGCATGGCACACAGGCATAAACACAGACGCACACGCTCTCACACCAGGGCCAGTTCTTCCAGAAGCCAATTAACCTGCCAGAATGTCTTTGGACTGTGGGAGGAAATCGGAGCACTCGGCAGAAACCACAGACCACACACAGACTCCACGCAGATAGTGTTTGAACCCAGGGCCGCAGTGCTGTGAGGCAGCAATGCTAACCACTGTGCTACAAGGCCACCGTTAAGATTAATTTAAGTCTGCTTTAATAAATCTTTTGTGCTAGGAAGATGGTGTCTTCAAACTAAATTGAACCCACTTTTTCCCTTGACAGCTGTTCTGTAGTAGTTTTGTGTAAATACAATTACCATTTCTGTTTTTTACACTGCAGATGTGTGAGAACTGCCCATCATGTCCTCGAATCCTGGGTCTCACTGCCTCCATCTTAAATGGCAAGTGTGATCCATCTGAACTGGAGGAGAAGATTCAGAATCTGGAAAGGATCTTGAAAAGCAGTGCAGAAACTGCTACGGACCTGGTTGTCTTAGACAGGTAGGTGGACTGCTATTTGATTGCTGTTTTAAATTGTACAGGGAATACATAATAAGCTCTGAAGTTTTATTTTGTTGTAGCTTGGTAGAATTACAGAAAAGTGCAGTAAGTACAAGCATACCTGAGATAATAAATACTTCAGGAAATGTATCGTAGTACAAAAACGTTGTAATTATTCTTTATCCTCTTAAATTATGTGCTGTAGGAAACTCATTTGAAGGTGCAACTAACTACCCAAATGTGTGAAAGAGTCACCCAGTGCACAGCAACCGGTTTTTCACCTGTTTGTTCCCCTTTTAGATACTCGTCTCAACCTCGTGAAGTTGTATTGGATTGTGGACCATATGTGGACAAAAGTGGGCTGTGTGAGAAACTCTTGAATGAATTGGATGAAGCACTTAATTTTCTTAATGACTGCAACATATCTGTGCATCGTGAAGACAGAGATCCAACCTTCATTTCAAAACAGGTCAGATTCCCCTTAATTTTGGTTCTCTGTAAGTTAGTTTTATCACAATAACAATTATTTTTTTTCTGGACATTTAATGATTTCCTTAATCTTTAATAATGTTCATATTAGGTGATGTGATATGATTCTAAAATAAAGTACTATAATTATGGAAAAGTGGAACAATTTGCTATGCACATGAAAATTTCTGTCCTGCCCTTATATATGAGAGGTTATAGTCAAAATAATCTGTCTTTCCATCGCCTGGGGTGTTTTATTCATGGGTGCCCTTTGTGCCATTGTGTCTGTGTCCAGGTGTTGAGTGACTGTCGAGCAGTGCTGACGGTTTTGGGGCCGTGGTGTGCAGATAAAGCAGCTGGGATCATGGTGCGGGAGCTCCAGAAATACATTAAGCACGAGCAAGAGGACTTGAACCGGAAATTCTTATTGTTTACAGACACTATTTTGCGGAAAATCCATGCACTCTGCGAAGAGCATTTCTCACCTGCCTCACTTGACCTGAAGTTTGTGACCCCAAAAGTAATTAAGCTGCTTGAAATCTTGCATGAGTACAAGCCCTTCGAGCGGCAGCAGTTTGAGAGCGTCGAGTGGTACAACAACAGGAACCAGGATAACTATGTTTCCTGGAGCGATTCTGAAGATGAGGATGAGGATGATGAGATTGAAGATAAAGAGAAACCTGAGGCCAATTTTCCTTCCCCTTTCACCAACATTCTCTGTGGGATCATTTTTGTAGAAAGGCGCTACACTGCGGTTGTCTTAAACAGGTGAGACTGTTTGAAAAAAGGTTGAAAAAACTGTTTTGCTGTATATGCTTATGGTATTTACACCAAGTAACAACACAAGGATGAACACAGATCTAACTTCTGATAATGTTCGTCTGGGTTTTAAATGTGACCTGCTGCTTTTGATACTCTTGTAATGTTCCTGTCATCGGAATCTTTTTTTCAGGTCCTTATAGCAAGTTTGTGTTACGCACGAGTCCTTTGTGGCAGTGAGATGTGGATTGCTGTTTTCTTCTTTCCAGGCTCATAAAGGAAGCTGGCAAGCAGGATCCAGAGCTTGCCTACATCAGCAGCAATTTCATAACTGGGCACAGCATTGGCAAGAACCAACCTCGAAATAAACAGATGGAGGTGGAGTTCAGAAAGCAAGAAGAGGTAAGAAGCCTGTGCCCAATAGGCATGCTGATCCAGAAATATGCTTATCGTAACTGGATGATCCAGTTTACCCAATTCTTTGTTGTCTTATTAGGTTCTTCGGAAATTTCGCGCTCATGAGACCAACTTGCTTATTGCAACCAGTATTGTGGAGGAGGGTGTTGATATTCCGAAGTGCAATTTGGTGGTTCGCTTTGACTTACCAACAGAGTACCGCTCCTATGTGCAGTCTAAAGGCAGAGCGAGGGCTCCTGTCTCCAACTACATAATGTTGGCAGACACCGAGAAAACAGAAACATTTGAAGAGGATCTCAAAACCTACAAAGCTATAGAAAAGGTAAAAAGTGCCCGAGATTACTGTTGTTCTTAAGGTGGTTAATTTGACTTGCAGGGGAGAGTGAATTCTGGTTTGCACATAGAACGTGAGTGTGAAATGCCTGTTTCCAATTCTCAGATTCTGAGGAATAAGTGCTCAAAGTCAGCAGATTGCAGTGAGTTTGAAATGGAACCTGTCCTGGATGATGATAACATTTTACCCCCTTATGTGCTGAGATCTGAAGATGGAGGCCCAAGAGTTACTATTAACACAGCCATTGGTCACATCAACAGGTAATATTCAAATTATTCCTTCTAACATCATTCAGAAACCAAACAGAAATATTTGTAACCATAGATGTGTATCTACAAATTGAAAGCCGAAAATGATTAAACGTTGTTTTTAATTTTTTAAATGATCACATTGACAATTATATGCTAAAAATATTATACAGTGTTGGCACTGTGGTAAACAATAAAATGAATTCATCGTAGTAAATATTCAGCTATTCACCTTAGTTACACGTTATACTATAATGTCAGATTTGTTTAAATTGTTCTCATCTATACCATGAACAAAGACTAAATTTGATGTTTAAGGATATAAGCAAACTTGAAGATGGGAAAACAACTGATCTGAGGATCTCATTTAGCAGTTTCTTGAAATTTTTGGCTTCCAGACACCTCTTTACCTCCCCTTAGCTTTCACTTTTGACCTCCACTCCTTTTGTCTTCCACTGTTCCTAATGAAGACCACAGGATTGACTTTCAGTGCCATTGAGGATGCTGAATAATTGAATTGGGTATCCTGATAGTCTTCTCAGTTCAAAGACTGCTATGCTGTTGTTGCTGTACTTCTCTTTTCATGGATTCTAGTGCAGCATTTTTTATTAACATGGTGACCAGCGTTGAGTACTATAAGTAAATCTTAATATTGCATTCACCAGTTTAAGTTTTTTGCTTTTAACTGTATAACATACTCTTCCATTTACCGTGTTGTATAGTTTTTAAAGATGTTTAAAGATGTAGATGTCAAGATAAACACCTAAGAGTGTTGGAGATTTGGTTATCTGAAGTGTTTCTATTCTGTGTAACACTTCTGCCTCTTCAATGCTAATATCATTTAACATTGACCTTTGTCTTTGCTCAAGAAAACATTTTGGCTGTAAAGCCTCTTCAGGTGCAAAGAAGCTTCCAGCCAAACATTGTTTTTGTCTTTCCTTTTACTAAGCCTCTGTTCCACACTTATTCATGGTCTGCATTCCTGAAATTGTAAACTTTTCTTTTGACTCTACCTGTAAAATTTCGTCCGTACTTTCCTCACTCTGTTAGTTGTTTGAAACTGCAAAATCAATGCTTTGTGCCCTTGTGTGTTCTTTAGTGTATTTGTCATGTGCAGTGAAATGCTTATTTGCATGTATGCTCCGAAACAGACATTAAGGAAACCCCAAAACAATATAGAACTTAAAAAATACAAATCAGACAAGCAGTGCGAGAAGAAAAAAAATTGTATTCGATATCCTTTCTCTCTTTTTGTCAGGTTTTTATGTTTCCAATTACATTGTAATCTTCTGTTAAAGTAGTAGCTTTTAATTGCTTGATTAGCTTGATTGTTTCCTAAGTACTTATTGGTTTTAGATATAAGCACTTAATATCAGGTTCTTTGATACTTTGTTTTCCCTGGGGTTCTCTTTTTGACTCTACTCCTGATGTATCTCTCTTGCGCATTTACTCAAGTTTCTACCCTCTGCCCATCTATTTTAAATGGCTTTAGAATTTCTCTGTAAATATGTTATAAGCGGACCTTCAGTCTTGATCTTTTTCAGTCTTTCAGTCTTTTTCACATTTGTTTTCCTCAATCTAAACAGTTCACTACTTAAAATAATTAATGTGGACATGTGTTTTAAAAGCTGTGATTAAAGTGTATGTAACTGCCAGACAACTCTGGGGGCAGCTCTGCCTTGCTCAAACAAGCAAACATTTTGCTCAAACTCACATACTGAGTAGTTCCATCATATTGAAATAGACTGTGTAGTGATTCTGCTGTTTGCCCTTTACAGTTAAATTGTGTAAGGAGTTTGTGCATGTGATTATCAACAGTAACTGAACTGATGTGCTTCTGTTCTTTTCTTTAATAGGTACTGTGCCAGGTTACCTAGTGATCCATTCACTCACCTGGCACCAAAGTGTAAAACAGTGGAGCTACAGGATGGGATTTATCAGTCTACTCTTTACCTTCCCATCAACTCTCCTCTCAGAGTTCCAGTTGCTGTGAGTGCCAAACTTCACAAATTACTGTATGCAACCTGTCCCTGCCTTAACAGTTTTTAGAAGTGGAATACAATACTTTAGTAGGATTTGTTTTAAATCTATTTCCATAGCCTTTAAACTATCAGGTATGAAATTAACAATGACTATTGCCCGATGCCCGGTGAGGGAAATGAACTGCAGGCTGCCTTTCACTGATGCATTAACTGAGGTTGTGCAAATTCTTTTAAAAAATCTCAGTAGCTTTCTAGTTCATTACTTAAACATTATACTTTTACCTTTTTAAAAGGTTTTCCAAGTGTTTGAACTTCCCACTTAATATCTAAGTCTGACTCTTGAAACTTAAACTGTCAGTATCTTTGTTGATTTATATAAACTTATATCTTTAAATATCTTTTCATTGGTGTAATTCTGTATGCAGTAGAGGAATACCTGTGTTTCAACTGCTGATATTTTCTAATGTTCTTCCTAGGGGCCCAAAATGAATTGTGCAAGACTAGCTGAGAAAGCAGTTGCCCTTGTCTGCTGTGAAAAATTACACAAAATAGGTAAACAGACATCTGGGAGTATTAATTGTTGGTAATGATGATTCATATATTTTTAACTTGTATAAATGATTATGCAAAAATGTCAATTATATGAATCTGCGAAAGACCAGATTTGATTAAAAGTAAATGAGTGATGTTCCTTAGTATTGTCCAGATACAGACTTATATACACTAAAATCTTTATTACCTTTTTAAGAAATGTGCAGTGCCTATTTAGCAAAGTAGCGAATGGTGCCTATTTTGATGTTACATTTCCATCAACATATACTGAAATAAACAGTAGCTTTATATCTGTTGTGAATGAAGACAGTACAAGCATAAAAAGGCTTTTAGAGTTCCTCTCCTAATTTTGCTTTGCTAATATCCCTAACAGAAGAGTAATGTATTGCAGTTGTCTTCTGAGATGACCAGGAACAGTTTGTGACCCTTCAGACCTGTTTAGCACGGTTAATCCTGGGCTATGTGCTTTTATCAGGTAGCAAGAAAGAACTTTTCAATAGCTGTTTTAGAAATGTATAGTATTCCATTGTTCAAACAGTAGCATTGGGTTTGAGTCTTGCACTGTGTGATCTCCGCTTTAAAAGTGCAAAACACCATTGCACTCCTTTGGGGTAATGCAAGAAACCATTCCCTGTGACTGCACTGCCATGAGTAACTCTTGTTTGGCGGAGTCACTGAGTATATCCATGTGCCTCTCTTTTGCACAAGGTGAGCTGGATGACCATCTGATGCCGGTGGGGAAGGAGACTGTGAAGTACGAGGAAGAGCTGGATTTACACGATGAGGAGGAGACAAGTGTTCCAGGGAGGCCAGGATCCACCAAGAGGAGGCAGTGTTATCCGAAAGCTGTTAGTATAGTTAGCTGTATTTCTGCACATTTTCAAGCTTCTCATGATTACTTCATACTACCCGGGGCTTCAAGCTTTGGCAGGAATTTGTTGTTGTTAAAACTTTAAATGAACGAAATGGCTAGAAACTGATTGGCTTGTTTGTGTATCCAATTTATTTTTCAGCGTCTTGAAAAAAATTGCTTGTAACCTTTTCTCCCCTACCGTCCAAACAGATTCCAGAGTGTCTGAGAGCCAGTTACCCAGTTCCTGAGCAGCCCTGCTACCTGTATGTGATAGGGATGGTTCTCACCACTCCTCTTCCTGATGAGCTCAACTTCCGTAGGAGGAAGCTCTATCCTCCAGAAGACACCACCAGGTGTTTCGGAATATTAACAGCCAAACCAATACCTCGGGTAACTATTACATTTCATTTTATTATTACTATTACATTATACCTTGTAGCTTAAATCACAGAATTCAGTTATACATTTAAATGTTAGTCAAAGACAGTCCAAGTCTGGTGCAAAGGAGACATATATTTGTTTCTGGTTTTCAGTAGACACCTTATATGTTAATAACTTAATTGAACTACTAAAGTGAATATGAAGTGAGCACCAGTGTTCTGTGTTAGTCAGCTGACACTGACTAACACTGGCACGAACCTGCCACTCCAGGACTCGTAGTACTCCAGTGGAGTAGTTTAACAAGCACTGATTAGGTGGTTCAGTATTCAGCATTTTTAGCTTCTGTTTAAGTACTAAAAAACTTTAAGGCTCATTAGTGTTTTGTGTGTGTAGTGATTTAAATAGGTTAGCAGTTGCTATTGAATGAAATGTTTTTCTTCTTCTGGAGCTGACGTTGGATTAGTTTAGCACATTTTAAATCCTTCACGCACCACTTCTGAAAACCTATTTTCCAGGGACAGGCTTGCCTGGTTTAGCTGCAGTTCTACAGTCAGCATCTGTCAGTACCTTCTAATGTTTCTGCATAACATTCCTACTCAGCTGATGTGGGCCTTCACAAGTTCTGATTTTTATTCCTTCCAAAAAGGAAACTTCTCCCTTCCATGTATCGGAAATTGAATTTTCCAAGAAGTGTAATGTGTATCTAAATGTCGCATTTCTGCCGTACTTTAATCTGTTGTCAATGACCAAGAATACAGCAGAGTGGAACAATGCACAAAATTAAACATAAATGACAGGCTGCATAACTGTCTAAATACAATATTGTGTAACATGACCCAAAGAAACAGATAAACATATGAAGGGTCGTATCATTATAGGAAACATAGCAGCTTTTCAGTCCATTCTAACTTTAGATTTCTGAATGTGAGAAATCTTTCAAAGTTGCAGAGTTTACTTAAACAATATAGACAACAGTTTTTAAAGTTATAGGATGATGAATACCTTCTATGTTTTCTCCACTTGATTCACAGATGGCTTCTAATTACCCTTGTATTGTTTTTTTTAAGTGGAGACATTACTGTGGTAAAAGGATCACTTAAGCCTATGTCTTTACTTGAGATTGTTGTTCGTAGGAGAATCCTCAAAGTGTGTTGTTGTCCTGTTCAGATCCCTCACTTCCCAGTCTACACTCGTTCAGGAGAAGTCACCATATCCATTGAGCTGCAGAAGTCTGGCTTCACCCTCAGTGCCCAGCAGCTGCAGCTCATTACCAGGCTCCACCAGTACATTTTCTCCCACATTCTTCGTCTTGAGAAACCTGCACTAGAGTTTAAACCTACAGAAGCTGATTCAGCCTATTGTGTTCTACCTCTTAATGTTGGTAAGTGCTTGGAATAAAATAAAGTGGAGCCTAACCTCTTCCTTGGAGATAACGGGTCTGTTTCCCAATGTCCCTGTGAGTGTCTGAATAAGCTCCGAGGTTCAGTCAGATATCCGTCTTGCATTTTGACATTATAGAACAGTTTACCTGCTTTTTAGGAGACGGAGAATAATGTTCGAGCATAACAGATACTTGTGAAACAGCTTTTTCTTTTTTTTTCTAGATCTGAATAACAGACTGTTGAGAGAATGGTATATATTAGCTGGTTACCTGATGCACATTTTAGTAAGTTTTGAATTTTGTGTTTTTTCCATCAGTTGATGACTCTAACACTTTGGACTTGGACTTCAAGTTCATGGAAGATATTGAGAACTCTGAAGCACGTATTGGCATTCCTAGCACACAGTACACAAAGCAGAACCCTTTCACTTTCAGACTGGAGGACTACCAAGACGCAGTTATCATTCCAAGGTAGGCTGAATGTATAGAAAATCTGTTTTTTCCAGTTTGGCTTATTCAGTCCATGAAAATGACGTTTAGTGTTGCAATTGCCCAGGAACCCCGATGGCCTTGATTTCTCTGGCTTTTAGGTATAGCGAAGTTCTCCTCTGTTTGAGAAGGCAAACTGCCTATGCCCTGCTGGGATCAGGCTGGCACTTTCCAGCTGAGCCATACAGAGCTTCCTCAGACAGCTGCGAGTTGCTCTACATCAAAAGCTAACCTCCCTTCACGGGAGAATACAAGGCCCCTGAGGTCAGTGGGAGTGGCTCAGCTGGTAAATTTGCTTTGCCAACTGGAGGCTGAGCTCTGTGATCCAGGCTTCGAGGGTTGCCTTGCTTGCAGCCTGGGACCAGGATTCCCAGCGGGGCAGCGTGGGATTAGGGTGGTGAGGGATGCACCTGAGCTGAATTTACTGCATGGGGCTGTGTTTCCTCTTACGTGTCAGAAGACAAGTGGCTTGAAGGTGGGCTAGTCTATGGAAGTGAAGGCAGACTCATCCTTGTTCCCCATGCATGGTTGTGGTGTTCGTAGCCATTCAACCTAGACACATTTGGTGACTCAAAATAAATACCATCATTGTGGGGAATTACTTCCCATGTCAAAGGGCCTGTTTGAACCTTCTTTCTCTGTATTGTATTTAACTTAAACAAATAATAATAATTGCTTTCACTTACAGTATATAGTGCTTTTCTGGACACTCCACTCAAAGCGCTTTACAGGTAATGGGGACTCCCCTCCACCACCACCAATGTGCAGCATCCACCTGGATGATACGACAGCAGCCATAGTGCACCATAACACTCACCACATATCAGCATATCGTGTGGGTTCTTTACATTTATAAGCAGCAGGAGAGTAGAGTAATGAAGCAAATTGATCTTGTTTTAGAACCAAGTGCCATTGGGTGTCAATGCCACTGGTGAAATTTTTAGTAAAGCAGGGAGGAGAGTAGAGTAATGAAGCAAATTGGTCTTGTTTTAAAACCAAGTGCCATTGGGTGTCTAAATTTAATAAAAGAATCATATGCATGTTTTCTCTCTTTTCCTGCTATCAGGTATCGCAATTTTGACCAGCCTCATCGTTTCTATGTAGCAGATGTCTACACTGATCTTACACCCTTGAGTAAATTTCCATCTCCGGAGTATGAAACTTTTGCCGAGTACTACAAAACCAAGTACAACCTTGATCTGTCCAACTTAAACCAGCCTCTTCTGGATGTAGATCATACATCCTCAAGGTATGCAGTTAAAGAAAAGGAAAACTTTGATGTAGAAATGGTTGCATGAAGGCTTTTGGATTTTCTTGTTTATTTAAATAGAACAGAAATTTAAATGCACGATATCTTTTGCTATCCTTTCTCTTTAGATTGAACCTTTTAACCCCACGACACCTTAATCAAAAAGGTAAAGCCCTTCCTTTGAGCAGTGCTGAGAAGAGAAAAGCAAAATGGGAAAGCCTGCAAAATAAACAGGTGGGTAGTCTGCCATTGGGACGTTTCATTCAACTGATCATCACAGTTATTAAATTTGCTGCAGAGAATTGCATGTAGATCCTTATATGTATGTTTTTTAACTTCAGATAAAACGTGAAATGGACATATTCTTTTGCACATTTTTCAGATTTTAGTTCCTGAGCTTTGCGCCATTCACCCCATTCCAGCTTCCTTGTGGAGAAAAGCAGTCTGTCTGCCCAGCATCCTCTATCGTCTACACTGCCTTCTAACTGCAGAGGAGCTCCGAGCCCAGACAGCCAGTGATGCAGGTGTTGGGGTCAAAGCTCTGCCTCCAGAGTTTAGGTCTGCAGCTTCCTTTGGTTTTCCAGCCATGCTGTGTTATCTAAACTGCTAAAGCAAAATCAGCTTGTCCTTAACTTCAGTCTCTGAATAGCTGTAACGTGTTTGTGTTTAATTTGTCTCAGGTACCCTAACTTGGATTTTGGATGGAAGAAATCTATAGACAGCAAGGCTTTCATCTCAAGTCCCAGCTCTTGCATAGAAGAAAGTGAAAATTACTGTAAGCACAGCAGAACTGTAGCCCCTGAAAATGCTGCACATCAAGGTGCTAAACTAGAAGACTCCTCACCACCGAGGGGGACTCAGCCATCTGTGAACTGCACCACACCTGTTGAGAAGTCACCTGATAAGCTACATGCACCCAACCCCTCACAAAGGAGCAGAGCTAGCAGGAACTGTCTTTGTGCTGAGAACCTCATGAATGGCACTGCTAATGACCTTAGTGGAGGCAGCAATTGCCAATGTCATCCACTGAACTCCTGCAAGAGTGACATACCTTTGCAATCAACTACCTCAGTTCCCATGCCGAACTCACAGAGCATTGAGAACCAGCCCATGCCCAGCGTTGAATGTACTCCAGGGAGTAATAAATTTGATGGACATGCTATAAAATCTACCTCAGACGGTTGCCTGGCAGTGGCAGTGACTGCAACAGCCAGTTCCTCAGCAGCACCTTTATCAGATGCTTCACACGTTTCAAAACTTGCTACCAGCCCTGTCTGCAGCGACTCCCCCAAAACCCTTGGCCCAAACCCTGGTCTCATTTTACAGGCCTTGACCCTTTCGAACGCCAGCGATGGGTTCAATCTGGAGCGGCTGGAGATGCTAGGAGACTCCTTCCTTAAGCATGCAATTACCACCTACTTGTTTTGTACCTATCCTGACGCTCATGAAGGCCGTCTTTCCTACATGAGAAGCAAAAAGGTGAGGTACAGTGCTGAACCTCTCTGCCTTAGAAACAAAAGCGGAACAGTATCTCTCAAAAGACAGGCAGCAGGTTTCACTGGTAATTAAATACTTATTAAACATGTTAGCATATAAATTATGTGCAACAGTATTGTGTCATGACAGGGAAATTTGAGACTGTTGTCTTCTTCCTTGACAGGAAGACTTAACTGTTTTGTAGTGCTGTGGCAGATATTCAGGTTGTCATTTTAAAAAAGTCAAGTTGTGGCTGAGCTTAACTGAAACAGAATTAAGAGCCAAATTCAACAACTTCTCATTCTGAACTTGTCAAGGTTTTGCAGGATAAGGTCTGCCGGTCAAATCTAAATAAATGTACCGCTTTTGATTTAATTGTGCTGAAAATCAATTTGGATATTGGATTTCCAGATCAATAGTAGTTGTCCCTTGTGTACTCTTATCTGTATTAAACTCCTTTACTGATGGTAGAGTGGTGATTCAGCTTCTGTCTGCAAGCTTACTTCCAGGGTTGGTGACTGCCATTAAGAGCAGTCCTTCTCCTGAGGCACCTCATATATATCATATCTTATAAACCAGGGGTTTAAATAGATTTGGGAATGCTGGATATCTTTGGCCAAGTGCTTTAAGTAAATGTTCCAGGTTAATGCTGTTCAGGAAAACCACTGAAAAATACATTGCTGTCTATCTGTTAAAGAACCTGATGTTGTTTCTGGGTCACTCAAGTTTTTTGCACTGAAAGAGAAGTACAGTTCAGTTAAGAAGTAAAGTGCTGTAATTCGATCGTATGGGTTCTTTACATTTATAAGCAGCAGAGGTGCGTTGCCAACAACTGGTGAAATTTTTAGTATCTCACACTTGTTTGTTGGCTTTGATTCCTCTTTTGATGTGGAATAAGCTAGAATAGGTGTTGGAAAGATGAGCATAGTTGTTTAAAATACCTGTGAGTGTAAATTACAACTTATATACTCAACTTTTTTTTGTGTTTTTTCAGGTTAGTAATTGCAATCTGTACCGCCTTGGGAAGAAGAAGGGCCTCCCTAGTCGAATGGTGGTTTCAATTTTTGATCCACCTGTGAACTGGCTTCCTCCTGGATATGTGGTGAATCAAGACAAAAGCAGTACAGACAAGTGGGATTCAGAAGAGGTAGGCAGAGCTAAAGCTCACAATAAAGCTAAACACTAAGTCTGTTATGTTACAGTTAGACTAGAGTGTTTCCATTAATTTATATCTGTTAGTGTCTGTGATGAAGAATGAATCTACACGCATAACACAGCAGATGTATTGCTTGTCTATATTAGAGGAAAGCACTTACAGTATATAACTGTATAGAAGTACAAACTTGTGTTAAACCACACTGAATTTTACAACTGTGACATTACAAAATTAAGAGCCTTTTTTAGTAGTATTTTATACCATGACCGATTATTTCCAGACTTCAGTCTTGTATTGCAGTTTCTAGATTTTGTTTTCATCGTAAGTGTTTTATAAAAGTTAATACTGCCTTATTTTGCATTTTCAAACCTTTACCACAAGAGGGCATTGCTTTATTCCTTTGGAATAAATTCCTTTGAAAGGGCTTTGTATTCCCATTTAAGTGGTAGTAATTTATGCAGTTTTATGAACAGCTGTTATGTAGCTTTCCTATTTATTGTGTTAGAAAGCTAAACCAAATCATTGCAGCAAGGACATGTCCAGTTCACGCTCTTCTTTATAATTAATCTAGTTTAATCTCTTCTGTTTATGTGCGTTAAATATTTTTTCAGATTTAACTTGCGAAAATTATTTTGTAGAACAAAGAGAATCCATTAGCCAATGGAAGATCTGAGGAAGACTATGATGATGATGAGGAGGGTGTTGACGATGTTGATGAAGATGATGATGACCTGATGTGGAAGGAGCCAAAAGATGAGGTCAATGTTGAGGATGATCTGGAATATTACCAGGAGCACATAAAATTCATTGATAACATGCTGATTGGTTCCGGAGCCTTTGGAAAGAAGATATCTCTTGCATCTTTTCCACCTGCAGAGCCCAACTATGAATGGAAAGCACCCAAAAAGACTTCTCTGGCAAACGTGCAGTTCTCTTCCGATATAGATGAGTTTGATTACAGCTCATGGGATGCCATGTGCTACCTCGACCCCAGCAAGGCCGGAGATGAGGATGACTTTGTGGTGGGATTTTGGAATCCATCTGAAGAGAACTGTGGGGTGGACACCGGCAAGCAATCCATCTCCTACGACCTGCACACTGAGCAGTGCATCGCGGACAAGAGCATCGCTGACTGTGTGGAGGCCCTGCTGGGCTGCTATCTCACCAGCTGTGGTGAGAGAGCTGCCCAGCTGTTCCTGTGCTCCCTAGGTTTAAAAGTACTGCCTGTGGAGAAGAAGGCTTGCAGAGACATCAGCAACACCAGCCTTCAGGCTGAGCTTGGCAAGGATCACACTAAAGACGTGGAGTATGGTTGGCTGAAAATCCCACCCAGATGCATGTTTGACCATCCAGATGCTGAACGAACCCTCAACCACCTGATTTCAGGTTTTGAAAACTTTGAAGAGAAGATCAACTACACCTTTCACAACAAGGCCTACCTTCTACAAGCCTTCACTCATGCTTCTTACCACTACAACACCATCACAGGTAAACACGGCTGCTGCTTCTGTTCTACTCCGTTGGCATCATCCACTTCATTGTAGGTTGTGCTGTGTAAGCCGTATTTCTTTAAAATGGGCATCACCTTTAATTAGTTCAATTAGGTAGCTGCCTCAGCATGGTTAGGCTGCAAAGGAACAAGTAAAGGTTTATTCCATGCTGAAAAGAGAAGAAAAGAAACACAACGTTGTGTTTCTTCTCTTTTCAGCATGGAATAAACCTTTACTTGTTCCTTATTACCTTCAATTGTTAGGATTTACTATTTGCAACTGGTGTCTTTGTTTTGGACTGTGCTGACATCTAGTGGTAGAAAAGTATTAAATATTGGGGGGGAAAGCTTAAGATGGAATTTAACTCTTGCTCTTATAGAAGGACTGCAATGTCCTATGTAGAAACCCAGTACATTTCTTTGTGACTGCTACTGTTCTCAGGCCATTGAATGATAGTTACCATTTTGTCCTTGGTCTGAAAGATTGTTACCAGCGGCTGGAGTTCCTTGGGGATGCAATTTTGGACTACCTCATTACAAAGCACCTTTATGAAGATCCGCGGCAGCACTCTCCTGGAGTGCTGACTGACCTGCGATCCGCCCTTGTCAACAACACCATCTTCGCTTCCCTGGCGGTCAAGTACGACTACCATAAGTACTTCAAAGCCGTCTCACCAGAGCTGTTCCACGTGATTGATGACTTTGTGCAGTTTCAACTTGAAAAAAATGAAATGCAAGGGATGGATTCTGAGGTTAGTGGTTTGTCCTGCATAGGCAGCTTCGTAAAACATGTGACTGTAGTTTAGAACTTAAAAACAAGATGTTTGCATTTTAATATCTTGGGCTTGTCTTTTAGTGGCTTCCAGGTATAGGTAATTCAGTTGTGTGTGTGTGTGTGTATCTCATTAAACAGTGTGTTCATGGATTTTTCTTCTTATTAACATACAGCTGTGTCTTCAATGCAGGATATTCAGTTATTATAAAATCTGTTTTGTATTTTTGTGATTTCAAGTGTTGTAAAATACAGTTGGATTTAATTTGTTTGAAATTGCTATCTTGGCAACGAACCTTCTTTTTTTTTACTAGCAAATTTTTGTTATGCCTAAGGGACACCATTTGAGACTACTAAAAATAAATGGCAAAAATCTGTAAATAGTGTTTTTTCTTGATGTCCCTGTAGACGTGTTGGAGGCAGTTTTTCAAAATGTGATGTTTACATTTTGCATTTTCCAAACTTTAGCTCAGACGATCTGAAGAAGATGAGGAAAAAGAAGAGGACATTGAAGTTCCAAAAGCAATGGGTGATATCTTTGAGTCACTTGCTGGTGCCATTTACATGGATAGTGGGATGTCTTTGGAGACAGTTTGGCAAGTGTACTATCCAATGATGAGGCCCCTGATAGGTAAGAAATTAAACCCAATTAAACTTGATGATGTTAAGAACAAAATTGCACTGTTCATTAGACAAGCAGTCTTCAGAAAGCTACAATTCACCATTAATAGAAAATGTCATATTGAGTAACTGTGTACCTGTAATAAAACATCAAACATCATATTCTGAATATTGTGTTTTTGTACCTCAGTAACCCATTTTTTTAAAAGTGAAATGTTTTTGTCTTTAGAAAAATTCTCAGCAAATGTTCCTCGTTCTCCTGTGCGTGAGTTGTTAGAAATGGAGCCGGAGACTGCCAAATTCAGGTGGGTGCTCTAGGTCAAATAAGAGTGCACTTTATGGCCCTTGATGTAAACAGAATGTGCTTATAATTTGAACATTTGATTATTTCATAAATAGGATTATCTCATATAACTTTAAGGGCAAATAAATGTGTGGTTTATCTTAAGTTCTCATGCCACGGTCATTCATTTATGTGGATATTCTGATACAAAAGGCACAAGTTTAAAACATAGTTAAATCAGGCCATCTGGAAGAATGATGCAGTAAAGATGTAGGAAATATTCGGAGATATTCACAGGTGTTTCTGAAATTGTACTTCTCGTTAGTGCTAATGATCCTGTATGGTAGGTTTTCTGTTGGGTTTAAGTAATCAGCAAAATTTTGGCACTCAATAGCTGCAGTGTTTTATAAACAAAAGCAAACAGAGTAATAAATCAGAATATAAATAAATCTAAAATGTGTGATCCATAGATCCATAAAATTGTGATCCATAGATTTTAATCAGTACTTATTCCATCTCTGCAAACAGAAAAGGCACTTTTTAACTTACAACCACCTTGAGTTAGCAATCACAATTGGCTTATAATCAGCCAAGTAGGGCCTCAAGATCTTTGGTTATGTGTTCCCAAGAGATCATATTGATCTATTTTTTTTAAGCATAACGTAAAATTATTTTAACATTTTACATATTTTCTGTTCTGTCTGATAATGCTTTCTTCTTCAAAACAACAGAAGGTAGATAGATATAGTTGCTGTGATCTGTCAAGAAGAGCTTTATTTTCTTACCAGTAAATATCCTGATGCATAGGGGGAGTGTGTAACAAGCTGCCCCGCCATGTGGTTGAAGTGTACACATAGAGCTTGGCTTCCTTCAGGAAATGGCTGGATGAGATACAGGGTTCAATAAGCTAATTGTTATCTGGTGGGCAGGTTGGGCCGTGTGGCCTCCTCTCTTTTGCAACCTTGATGTTCTTAAATGTGTTTCTGCCACTTGAAAGGACATTTTCTTTCCGAGGTATAATGCAAGTGTACCACTCTCAATCCTGTGCTGTCCATTTAAATACTTTCATACTGTGGGGCGTGTATACATCTCAGTCTTAGTATATTCAAGCTCTAGGCTCCAGTTCAAAAATGTGTTTCCAAAAAAATCATTTAAATCTCTTCTGCAGATGTCGGTGTTCTTCAGGAAACTCTTACAATACTTGTCCTTTTTAAAAAAAAAAAAAGTTTAGGATAGTTTGTGATATTGTTCATATTAACAATTTTACTGGATAACGAATTGTGTTGTTTGGCTTGAGTGTGTTATTCCTGACGTGAATCAATGCAAGCGAACCTGCCAGATCCTCTATTCCCCATCCCCAGTTTAATTTGATAAGGATTTCTTTCTGCTTCACAAATCTTGAAATGTGTTCCATTTGCTTTGCTGTTGCTTCCTCTGTAGCCCTGCTGAGAGGACATATGATGGGAAAGTCCGGGTCACTGTGGAAGTGGTTGGAAAGGGAAAATTTAAAGGAGTTGGCCGAAGCTACAGGATCGCCAAATCAGCAGCTGCCAGGAGAGCCCTGCGGAGTCTCAAGGCAAATCAACCTCAGGTTCAGACCAGCTGAGCAGGAACGTTCCCCACTTCCTGAAACAACAAAATAGAAGCGAGCAAAAGGCGATGGGTTTTATTGAGAGGTAGAAATATAACTTAGTCGAGTAAGTAAAAAAAAAAAAAGCTGTAAGCATTTGTAAAGAAAAAAAGGAACTATTATGGTTTTTTTGCGCAAACACAATCTTTTCTTTTTTTCTGCTATGTTTAATCACAAGAGTGCTTTATAATGTTAGCAAGTGTTAAGAAAAAGAAAAAAGGTCAGGTCTGTCTTGTTCTGTTTTACTTTCTTTTAAAAAAAAGCTCTGCTTCGTGTAAGTGGGTTAGGAAGCTTGTGCTTAACATTTAATTATTAGTCTGTATATAGTTTAAAACAATATACAAGAAAGGAAAGAAACTCTGAATTCCTCAGTCTGTGCACTAGTGCCAGTTCTAAAGCGGTTAAAGTTATAGTGGTGGACAAGCTGGTGGGGAGAAGCTTGAGCGGGTGCCAGTATAGTCCTTCATTCCCTGTTATCTCAGTCTTGAGATGGCTTTCTTAATCAAGATTGCACTTACTGCTAGAGTCCACTTCATTGAGGTTCAGCTGGACAATTGAAGTGCATATGGAGTAGACACACACCCAAGCCTGATTGGAACCTTTTTGTCTTCTCCAGCCTGAAAATGATTCACCTTTGTGTGTTTCTCTGCTATAAAAAAAATAGGATTTTTACATTCCCGTTCACAGAAATATAAATTGTTTTTATCACACTCCAGAATGCCTGTTTTTGTAGCCATTTATTATAAGACTACCTGCAGGATTCTATTTGCATATACAGCTACCAGTATATACATAGAAAAAATATATCAACGTGATGAATTAAATGTATGCTTAGGTTTCATTTAATGTTTTTTATACCAAGAACAATAACATTCTAAATGAATGGTCCTGAAAGAGAGCATCAGATGTCTCCATTGACTGATGTTTAGTTTTGATAAATTTAACAATAATAGAAAAGACATATCACCTGGGAAATATGCTGCAGATTTTATAAGAAATTGGTCACTTCTGTAAGAAATGGAGCACCTTTACATTCTTTGCATACACAAGATTCTTACTGTAGTTCTCCTAGATTGCATTTGTACTTCACTTACCAAAGTTACCACTGTCACAATGCCACAGAATTGCATTTGTGAGGTATACTTTCATAACTCTGTGATCAAGGGGATGAAAACCAGTCTTTGCTTAGTTTAAGCTCATTTGTGATTATGATTCTTGGCTTACAGCCCAAATGTTTGTTTTAGTTATCTAGCATTAGGCACTCTTCACTTGAATACCTCAGTTATTTGCATGCATTGTTTTCTGTTTTTTTTTTGGTGCTATGTTTTATGTATTAAGCTTGAATTATTTTCTTTTTTTTTGCACTGTAACTATAATACCTCTTTAATTGACCTTTAAATCTGTTGGATTGGTTATCCTTACTGCCAGCAGTAAATCAGTAGAGGTTAGCTGCATTTTGTTTAATATTTCCCTTTTGATTTATGCTTGAAGTTTTGAGGGGAGGCTGAGAGAGAGTATATTCTCTGCACATAAACCTGAGGTAGATGCTCGTTTGTATTGCTTTGTTTTCTCTTGCGATAAAATTTGAAAATGATCTTTGTAACTAATTTAAAAGGGTCACTTAATGTTTTGTCAAAGTAAACAGATTGCATTCCGTATCTGCAATATTGCTTTTTGAATTTTATGTTAAGCAAATTTAAATTTCAATATGAGAACTGTTTTTTTTGGTTTTCAGCATTATTTCAGCTTGTTTGCTTCCAGAAAACTGGCCACGTAGTATTTTGCAAGTGTGAAGTCATTGTGATTTTCACTTTTCTTTTTTTCCTTCTTAGAGGATGTTAATATGGGGGTTAATCTCAGCTGTGTTTTAAGAATGTCTTCATGTTTTTTTCATTCAGAGCTAGATAATTAAATTTGCATGTGAGTAATATTGCAATGAACAAGAAGGGTAAGATCAAAACTTAACAAGGAATATTTTTGTACTTGTCAGTATATCATCTTAAATATCTGCTATGTAAAAACTGAGCTACCAGTACATTCTTTGCAGATACATCAGTAGTTCAAGTTAGCGTGCTGCTACCTCAAAAGCGTCTTTGCGCTGTTTTTTTCAATGACAGTAACTGTCTTATTCAAATATATCTTTTAAAATGTGCATACTTAATTCCTCAGTAAGACTTTAACCTGAAAAATATTAATGGTTATAATGCAATACAGTGTTTACTGTGATAATCTGCAACTTGTCATATTTATACTTTGCACTAGATGAACATTCCCATGAACTGCACCAATTTGATATATTTTTAAACTAGAAGATATGAAAACAGTGCCTTTTTTGTCTTACGTATAAAGCTCCCGGTTACACATCTTGCAATTCTAATTTCCTAATGTGTTGCAAGAGCTTGATAGATCTTAAATAAAAAAAGTTGCAATATCCATGTGCCATGTGGGTTTATAGTTTTTATTGGGTTAACTGGCTTAACAAAAATTACTACACAATACTGTAAGTTCGCAATCTTGTATTGTCGTTTGGAAATCCAGCTGTGTGCACATGTGAAAGATCTTACACTTTTTCTCCTTCCATTCCCTGATGTACTGGTGAGAGTATAGTCTGTTTCTTCATACAAACCTTAGTAAACTGTGCTATTAACCTCAGGTTGTCAAATCGTAAGGCCAATGATACCAAAACATTGGTTTTATTATTTCTTTTAGCCATTATCAATGTTTAATTTTGTTTTTATCCTGTATGTGGTGCAATCTGGTTATTTTATGCAGATGAATTAAGTGACCCTATACATTGTTACATGAAACCTGGTGTATTTAAAATGAGTATCTGTTATTGTGTACGTTTAATTTCACTATCGCCGCTTGTAACGGCTGTGTAATGTTCTCTAACGTGACCTCATTGCAGTGTGCATCACAACACCAAGGGTTCATTAAGATCCTAGACTTCACACTGTATGCATTTTTTCACTTTAACCCTTCCCCCCCCAAACTTAGAAAGCTGGGCATAAACATTAATTTAAAAATATTTTGGAGGATTACTTTGAAGAATGTGAAATCACTTTTTGGTGCCACACTTAGTGAATTCTTTTCATTGAATAAAAGGACTGTATTTAAGTGAATTAACACGATTAACCAGGCTGAAGTTTGTTGGCATGAACCTCTTACGCTTTTAAAAAAGTCTATTTACCTTTTTAAATGTTTGATGTAAGGTAGTCCTCCTTTATATGCTGCAGACTTCTTTTGAAATCTTTTTCTTACAGGCAGATAATTGTTTTGTTTTTGTACATGTAGCACAAATAAGCATTGCACTTGGGCACCACGCTTTACCTCATTTCAAGAAAAAGAAAAATCTGCCGATATATTTAGAGGACGAACATGTGGTTTTGGCCTTGCTGCTGTTTAAATTGCTGATTTTATTTTGTTTTTTTTTAAGGGTAATCTTTAAGACATAATGTGCCTGCAGGATAGTATCTGTTAAATACACTGTAGAACAGACCTAGGGGATCTGTACAATCTGGGGTGAAACATTTGTATTGTATATCAAGTAATGTCCTGCCTTAATACAGTATTTCACTTTTCAAACTGTAACATTCCCCTACAACTCAAGTTGGCAACATGCATGGCTTGAAACCTTTCCTGCACCTTTCTCTTCAAGAAATTTACATTTGCAAATAACCTGCACATGCATGTTGATGGTGCAGGACTTTTTTGCCCAGTAGTGTTCAGTTATATTGTTTTGATGGTCAGACTATTACTGGTGTAACTTACATCATGCTTCGTAAGGCAGTTTCTTTCCAGATCGCCCACTAAATTAAAAACAATCCAGTTTAACTTCTTCCACTTAAATAAAAAAGATGCACAGAAGTGATTCATGAGCTACCAGAAGTTTCAGTTATGTAACAGAAATCCTGTTGGTTTTTTAAAAAAACAAACCCTCACAAATTTAAGAGATCAAACCCATATATCAGATGTTACCTGAAAACAAATGCACTCATATCAGCAGCAAGCTGTTTTGTCACAAACTAAATAGTAATATGAGATTTACACATGTGAGTCTGTGAGTACTACAGGAGTACTGTACTGTAAATCAGTTGATTTCAGAGGCGAGCTGAAGAATGCAATGCATTGTACAGTGAATTAAATGGGGAATAATGGGCCATCACATTCTGCAGCAGTCTGTAAGGGACATTAAATATTTCATTCATACTGTAATCATGCTGCAGAGGTTTGCGGTCTGCACCTTATGGATCACAAATACTTTTATTATTTTTTGTAATTGTAGCTGAGTATATCTACAATAAAGTAATGGTCTGGTTGTTCATTGGTGTTTTTGTATTTTCATTTTTAACTGGAGTTTTTGAATGCGTTTTAAAAACCTTAACAGCACTTTAAGTCTTGTTTTAATGGTTTGGAAACATGTATGCCATGAAATATAAGATTAGGATCAAATTACAGTTAAGCAGGAATGAAATTATTTTTGTCCTGCTGTATCAAAGATCAAGCTGTTGTTTATGATGTCAGTACTAACTTAATATCTTGAGCTGCTGTCCAGGGAGTGAACATGCCCAGTGTTTTACCTACATTACACTTACACATGACTAATAGCTTTCTTATTTTCCATGTTAAAAGTCTCAAACTAATCAATGTTTTGTGCGTAAGCATAAAGGTAAACTGCAGATTAGAATTCTTAGGAAACGAGTTCCTTTGCGATGGTAGTGAAATGTTTTTTTCTTAGACATTGTTACTAAATATGTAGCTTTGTAACAATATAATAAGAAAAAAAAATCACTTTTCAGACTGGAGCATTTACTGAAACCTGTTGCCTTCAGTACAACACTTCCATGATTGAGTTAGTGAAGCCAAACCTTTTCAGGTCTCGTTACAAGAAATGTAAAAATGTTACTTTTCTTAAGTCTAAAAGTTTTTGTTAAGCTTTCAAATTTAGCACAGATTTGTCAGTTCTCAAAGCTGAAGACCTCTGGAAATTGTTCAAGTGATAATCAAGCTAATAAGGACACCAGATGACTGCAGGTCTGACAGTAGTATTGCAGTCTACTGTTCTAGAACTTTGATTCCCTTTTTTGCCCTTTTTCTTATTTAATAAATTATGCTTATACAATATTTTATGTCAAATTAAATGGGAATTTACCTTTAGGAACAGTGCATCTCTTTTTATTCTTTTTTAAATGATTTAGATATGTTCCTAATTTCATTAACTGAATTCATTGTCAGCATGTTTCTAGTATAAAGAAGCAAACAGATCTATTTTATGCTAGTAGACTTGGTGAACATTTGGAGCAAATGATTAAAGTTTTGAAATGTCACTCCTCAAGATTTAAAAGTTTCTCCTCATGTACTGCAACCAATAGGTCACTATTTACAGGCAACCTTTGGTTTCTGACAGTGTTTAATAGAATGATGTTTATTCATAAAGTAAAAGGGAGTAATTTACATATTCTGGAGCTTATCAGTGGCACCACACATATTGCTGGGACAAGAGCCCTGGGTATGGAGAGGAGAGCGTGTTCCAATATGTATGGCAGTCGCAGGAAACTCACACTAAAACAATGTGATGTATTTACTGGGTGGCATCAGCAGGGAGGGGGAAAGCTTAAAGTTAAACAGTGAGAGCTGAAGACTAATCTTATTTAAAAGTAATATTCCTCCCTGATTAAGTGCCCAGGGAGAATCACCTGGGACATTTTAGTGGAATTGGTTTCTAGCAGCTCCATTGCACTTAACAGTGCCAGTGGAGAACCTGCAATAAAATACCTTTGCGACTAAACTTAATAAAAGAGAAGGAAAGTCATAGGAAAGGGGATATGATTTCTTTTGACAAGAGGAATGCAAATAACTTCTAGTCTCCTTGCCTAGACCAGGTTAGTCTGATTTGTTGGGGGCTGGGGGAGGGGTTTAATAATGACTTATAACCTGTGTTGACAATGTGCAGGCTCGCCCCAACATCATTTAAGTCATTTATTCTCCTTGCTGTAAAAACAAAGAGATGACGAATAAATATGCAGAAGGTTCATTGTTTCTCAGTCGGTCTTTGCCAAAACTTTTCACTGACCTTTCAAGCCTGGGTCCCTTGCTAGTACTAAAATGTCTGTCACTCAGCACTTGCGCTTACACAACTTGCCCTCCTGACCTGTGCATCTTGTTTTTCTCTCTTTCAACTAGTTGTAAGAATTTTAAATCGGCTGGAGCTATTTTTCAGTTCTTATTTTTTTTTTCATTCAAGGATTACAGTAAATTGCAGCCTGACAATTACAATGTACAGCACACAGACAGGTTATTAATGGTTCAGCTTACTGATGGCCTTTCAACACAGGGTAAGGCCTGCTGTTTCTCACTTGTAATTAGATCCAGTTCTCTTGGCCTATTTAGATAACTTACGGAGCAGAATATGGAAATTCACTCTATCAAAAGGGAAGATTTTAATTGATCATATCATCTATCAGATACCTTAGTTTAAAGCAATAATGCCCTTTTTACTTAATGACTTGTATTGGCTTAAGATACCCATGTCGATTGACATCAAATAATTCAGCCAACAGGAGAGTACAGGTGGTTTTAATACTGGCTGCTGGTCTAGGCAGGAGAAGTATTTTTTTTTCCTCAATAGATGGAAAACAGAGATTAAAAAATTACTGATAGTACAATATTTGTACTCTGTTGTGACAACATACTGCCTTGTCAGTGCTATTGCACCACACTGTACTTGTGTAGTTAAGTAAATACTTATCCATACTTTAGCAGATATCATCATTAATTCAGTGTATTTATCAAGGAGTGTGAAAAGTTTAACTGTCTCAGCACATAAAAGATTTACACTGAATACTTAGCGTTGATGTTGCATTAAATTATATAGCTATATGTTATCCTGCGAAGTGTGAACTTATGGGAAGTAACTCTTAACTGGGTAGTGCTCTTCTTGCTGTTCTCACTATTAACAAATGGCATAAAGTAATTTGGTATCTCTGTGTATAAACTGTGTCCTGTGATGGTGTGTCAATTATCTGTACATACTGTATATTAACATATATTTGTACATCTATTAACAAGAAAATAATCACACTAAGAAGTAAAAAGAAGAAAAACGTTTCAGCTGTGGAGCCTTCTTCAGGTGAGTGTGGGAAGAGGGCTCTTCTTTATTAAACTCTACTTGTTGCTTGTTTGGGAACTGATGCAGCTCAAGGAATACAAGAGCGCCATTCGTTTTCCTTCCATTCTTTCGTTACCTTTTTCACGCAAACCTGAAAGCATTAAAGTCATTCTGTTCTGAAAACTTCTTGAGGCTGTGCAGACCTGGAAACACTACTTCGTGATTGTTTTTACTTTATAACATGTTCCATTTAGTGGGCAGGATTCTGCCCTAGTGAAAAATTATTTATTGATGTGGTTATGTACACAGTCCACTGTTATTTGGTACAAATCATTCATGCCAGATTTGGTTTGGACTTCACTGGACAATCCTAGAATTTGTGGCTGGAGAGGAAGTTGAGAATATTCGTTTTATACAAATGTTTTTGTATTTTTTATATTTTTGTTTCAGGAGTAACGTTTTTAAGCCAGCAGAATGTCTCATTACAGAACGTGGTGAGGCACAACTTGACACATTGTGCAGTTAGGCATGTTGCCCAGATTGTGTGTTGACTACTTTTTTCCAAGTGAAGAAGTTGATTAAATGAGACCCCTAAGCCAAGAAATACTGTAAATCAGTAGCATAATATTCTTAATCATGTGCTGTGCATTAAATGGCTGAAATATGATAGCAGGCAATGAAACAATGCAGGTTTTTCCTGGCGCAATCTAACTGAGGGCATTGCTGTTCCAGAGTAGTGCAAATTCACACGTACTTTATTTCTAGTAGTAGTGGGAGCAAACAAAATGTTGTAAAAACAAGAAATTAAACAAATCTCTTTTCCTGCTCATCTCACTATTTTGATTTTAAAAAGTCAATGAAAAAAGCATGATAAGGACTTCTTCTAAGCCAGGGAAAACTTTTTCACCATAAAACATGTTAAACTGTTGCAGCAACAGTACAGGAATGAATGTTCATCTCTGTGGTTTTCAGTAGCTTTGGACTAACCCTGGAAATAAGCATTTTAGTAAGTGAGCAACTTGAGACACAGATAAGACATGAACTCACTTGGCTGAGAACAACAGCTTGGCCACAGGGAGGGAACTAGGAGCCCCCCCACCAGGTGGAACGCTGCAAGGCCATTCTGGCCCTTCTCTGCTCTTCTGATAGAAACAGACGGTTCTGGTGTATCACAAACAGTTTAAAACCACATGGTTCGACTTCAGCCTTCATTAGGATTCATGCAGTGTCAAATCTCTCTACCACAGCATCTCTGAGATTGATTCTGGGGAATTTGGTTTCAAGCCTAGCGCAGCACAAACCTTTTCATCACAGTAGTTCTAACATCTGCATGATTAGTTGTTTTGTCAGCATATTCTTTGCTTTCATATATGTTTGTTCAAATATATACACAAACACAGCAGTTAGGTAAACAGGAAGGCATGGTAAATTGTACCTATTTTCAGAAAAGAACAGCTTTTCTATTAGTGAACTGTGTGGAACTTCAGATTTTGTAATGTTTATAAGAGCATCTGCTGTAAAAAGAAATAATTAGGATCAAGACGTCCTGGACATCCAGACTTTGCCAATATATTTCTTAATAATAAATTAAATGGGGAAATAAATAAGGAATAGACTGCAATCTGTGCAAATTAATGTTTCATAGAAATGTTATTTTTCTATTTCCTTGCATTGGCAGCATTATGGGATGATAGCTGGCTCCAATGCAATTTAAGTCTTTGCTCCAGCTAATCCTTAATTATTGAAGTGATCTGAGAATCCTGGGTTAATTAAGCAATTAATATTTCATTTAGTTATGTTTTTTTTAATTTCTATCGCCTTCTTCAGTGCTTTCTTGCAGCAATCACAGTTCAAGTCCTGGAGGCCAAGACTTCTCTGAAGCCCTTGCTTTGTGTGCTAAGCAGTGATTCCCAGCCATGGTCCTGGGGAAACTTTGCCTTTTCTGGTTTTTGCTCCGGCCCAGAACATAATCACAAACTGATTGAGTTCAGTTTTCTATGTGGGGCATATTTGTAAATGCGCTTTCAGCTCTTAAAGGTCAGTAGTGATTTGTGATTGATATTGAATTTCACAACTGTCTGCATTCAGGTGTATGCAAGAAGCAAAACAAGTGTGCACTGTGGAAGTCTCTGATATTTTGTCATTCATTGAGTTTTTCCATTAAAAACTGATCACCTTTTAGGAGGTGAGTAGTAAGAGATAATGTTGAGCAAGTT